TAACCGCAACGATGCAACGCAATAACTGCAACACGGTCTTCTTTAAGCGTCCACTCCATATTTAAAAATGAGTAAAATTCTAAAAGTATACATTTTTATTTTCATGAACAATTCGAAATTCGAATTCAATAAACTTTTTTGTGGTCAGCATTCTAAAAGAAAAGTTTTTACTGTGTGACAATACTTATGACCTGACTAGGTATATATATACATATATACTGGAATTTTTAATATGTAATAATATGCGTATATTTGTAATTAAGCATCCGCCACTGTCCATGGACTCATAAAGTTATAAGTTTAATGGTGTTAAAGGGCATAAAAGGGAACGTGGGCTCCCATCTGGTGGACCGACTGTGTAATGAAGGTCGTGGGAATCCGCTGGATGCTAGTAGGTTTGGTCAATATGACGAACCTTTGGGGAGGCTTACGTCCAGTGGACTTTCGTGGGTTGATGATGATCATGAAGAAAATGAAATGCTTACTCTCCCTTAAACAAAATCCTTTGGGACAATAATGTCCACGGTAGCGCGGTCTCCGTCAATGTTCCTTCGGAGTTGTCCGATTGCGCTGAACTAATTTTAAGTGAAATAGATGTTTTTTCTAATTGTCTCACAACCTACAGGAAAAATCTGTCGCGGACCATTTCCCAATTAAATATAAATTAATCTTAAGCAATCAATCAAATGTAATCAAATCTTACTTATATATTTAATTTTTTATTGTTAATGCACTGTCGATTGTACCTATAATTGAGGTGACATCTGCCATGAGCTTTTGTCAATTGTTCAATGTTTTGTATCGATGATCACTTTGTTGGTGCAACTTAATAAATAAATAAATAACCAACAATAAGCAGGAATGAGCCCTGAACATACAAGCCGTGGATAAATAAAAAAAATAGATAGCCTCGCTTTCATTGTTCGAAACGCTCCAACCAAATTCTTCTTTAATCTGTACATTTAGGTCGGCTGGAAACATGTTTGGGCCGTTAAGACGAAATTTTTGTTTGTTTAAGCTATAGATTACCTTACGCGTCTCTTTTAGGTTTGCATTTTTATTGGTGTACCGAATCAATAATTACCTTATTGGCAGTAAGTGGTCGTTGGATTAGTTTATTGTCGTGGGTCAATTGGTAATGTCATGGACCACCTGACGATCAATGGTATCTTGCCGCCATACGCCGTGAGGCGTAAGGTTCGGACCTCTATTTTTTTTATTGCTTATATGGGATGAGCTCACAGCTCACCTGGAGTTAAGTGGTTACTAGAGCCCATAGACATCTACGACACAAATGCCGCCACCCACCTTGAAATATGAGTTCTAAGGTTTCAGTATAGTTACAACGGCTGCCCCACCCTACAAACCGAAACACATTATTGCTTCACGGCAGAAATAGACAGGGTGGTGGTACCTACCGGTGCCGACTCGCAAGACGTCCTACCACCAGTAATTAAGCAAATTATAATTTTGCGGATTTGATTTTTATTACACGATGTTATTCCAACTCTATACAAAATTGAGTTAACTTTTACGATATCGAGGACGTTAACACGAACTAAGCACAATGGAAATTACTATAAAAACTTGAGGCATAGAAACACTGTACTCGCTGACAATAAATCAACAAAGTAATAATTAATTAATTAATTAATTAATTAATTAGTTAAATTCATGTTTTTCGTACTTAAAAAAACTCGTCCATTAAGAAGGTCAACAGATGAACCTATATACACTAATCTTCATTGCCTTTTTGCTTACCTATCTTCATTTGCAAACCTTTTGCGTGTCAGTAAGTGCGTCACTAAGCAAAAAACGTCATTACGGATTGTCCCGATCCATTAACGGTACTTTTAGGTACCTCAAGCACCGGTCATCGTCCTCGTCGAACCCGCCCTTTGCGACGAAGGCCTCGACGAGTAAATTAACCCTCAGACACAGCCCACTGAGTTTCTCGCCGGATCTTCTCAGTGGGTCGCGTTTCCGATCCGGTGGTAGATTCTGCGAAGCACGGCTCTTGCTAGGGTTCGTGTTAGCAACGTCATCAGATTTGAGCCCCACGAGCTCACCTACTAGTTAAGATTACGCTGAAATAGCCTCTCAAGGCTATCAGCATAGGTAGGATAAAAAAAATCGTCAAGTGGTGTTCACACCAGACTCTTGTGAGTTCCCAGCTCGCCATGACGCCTACAATTGCGCTCCCTCGTATTCGTTTTGCGAATTTTGTGTTTCATTCGATTTCAATTGACCACTTTAATGCGTTCAGCTGGTGTGGTCCACGATCTGCGAGGAGGTGAACAAGCGTTGCGGCGGCGAGCGACCCCGGACCCCCGCGCAAGTCAAGATGTGGTACGAAAACTATAAGAAGAAGTGCAAAATGCGCGCTCACGATACACAGGTAGGTAGAATACGAAGGATACGAAGCATATATTATTACTAGCAGACCCGGCCACGTGTTGCTGTGGCTAAGGTTTTTGTGTGGCCGGCTATGCGAATACCAAAAATTAACAATGTAAGAACAATTGGATTTCACTGTATTGCGTTTACTACGAAATAAATTTCACTTATACTTTAGCCTCAGCAACACGTGGTGTTCATGCCATTAAATTGGAGCTTATGTGACCAATTTGTAGGTTTATCATAGCAGCGCCATCTATTGATTACGTACTCAATCCAGTCAACAGACATCGCCATCTGTTAAAATCATTTGGAGTTAACAGATAATTGTGAATGTCAAATAGTAGACAAATAATTTGCAATAAAATAATATTGCGGCTATAAATTAAGATGTAATCTAGGATAGATCTTTCAATTTGGATCAAACTGCACACGGTGTGCAAATTTAATTTAAAATCGGTTAAGTAGTTTAGGAGTCCATCGCGGACAAACCAACGTGACACGTGATTTATATATATTAAGATATCGAGGGGTTAAAAAAAGGCTATTTATTAACATCAACAGCTCGATGTTTTTAATTGAACTTCAATTAAGTTTACGCCATTAAAAACACCTAAAGATATTGTTTTTTGTTTTGATATTTTTTCCAAATTTTAATCTTTAAAATCTCTGGTAAGGTTACAAAAAGTCGCTTAAACTAAATAACCTTTTAGCCCTCGATATGCATATAACATAGGGACATCAATTGTCAGATGTACGACCGGTGCAATCTTTTGTCAGTCAAAGTCAAAGACAAAAAAAAATATTCAACACTAGCTGACCCGGCAGACTTCGTAGTGACTCAATCTCTAAATAAAATACCTAAACTTTTCTATAAAATAAACTTAAAACAAACAAAATGAATCCGTCCGACGGGGGACACATCAAAGGAAAAACATAATTGTTATTTTTATTTAATTCCGAGCATTTTCATATTTATCTACCTTTTAAACCTTCTCTGGACTTCCGCAAATAATTCAAAAGCAAAATTAACCAAATCGGTCCAGCCGTTCTCGAGTTTTAGCGAGACTAACGAACAGCAATTCATTTATATATATATAGATAGATTACATCTATCGAAGTCAAATCAAAGTTTGTCTATTAAAACAAGCCGTGTTTGATTAGTATACACATATTTTCACATTCATTTATCTGAAAGTACATACTTGTTGAACGTCAAAAAGAACTACCGCCAATTCACAAGAACTAGCCTCCGTCCTGAGAAGAACTGGCAACAAACTCAACGGGCATGTCTTTTTTTTTCAAATATCAGTTTTTTTTTTATATTCATTTTCTCAAGATGTAGAACGTAACAATTAATGCAATATTGAAATGCCCGGAGCGAGCAACTCATTCTCAAGTCTCGGGAAATTCAGTAAAAAAAAAAGAAGGATTGTGTGGTTTTATGAAACCACGGTAAAAGTTCACATTATAGACATGTAACTCTGACAAACAACATTTACATTAAACACTGACAAAAACAAACAAAATAGCGTGGAGCACTGGCACAAATGAGTAATAGTCTATACACTACACGGTCAGCTGCTGCGGACTATAGGCGCCGCCATATTGGCCTTGGCTAACGCTGACGAGCGCCTTTCGCTTTATCCCTACTCCGCGGCCGACCGTCACGCGACATGCAACACACAGACGAAAAAGTTTGACGACGAAGACGAAGACGAAAAGACGATGTAAATTGCCTAGACGGATCGACGAGCGAACGGTCCACCTGGTGTTAAATGGCGGTATTAAATCTCTTGTTCGTATTCATTTTCAGCAGCCTCCGCAATCAGACACGTCAAGTCTGCTCGATGGGATGCTGTGGCAGAGCATACATCCCCTAGACGTCAAAGGTAACGTCCAAGATGACCTTAGAAATGTATCCTTCTTTTACTTTGTCGGTCGAACCACCAATGCTTTTGGATGCGATTTCTAACTACCCACATCTAGTAATTACAAGCAAAATATATTAACGGGTAGCTGTAGATTTCTGGTTCATAAGATGACAAAGACTTTTTGGCGGGAACGCGAGAAGTGAAGTTGTGTGATTTGTTTTATTTTGTCTATTTAGTGTTTCTTCGGGTTTAAATGTGTAATAACGGTGGTTTATTAACTGTTTAATATCTGTGAAAGTACACAAATGTGGGAAAATGAAACAAAGCCGCTGGACGTAACTTCTCGGGATCCTTCAAAAAGTCCACTGAAAAAATCTTCGTAAATGACCACAATTTTACTGAGATTATATTTCATCCCATATCATCTCATTCCATTTCATTTAATGTCATCCCAGTTGATTAATGTCTCAAATTAATGATCTTCATTTCATTTCACTCCATAATATCATTTTTCATAAAATTATGAATATAAATTAAAATAAGACGTGACTTAAGGTCTCAGTTACCAGCTCATAAAATCCTTTAAAAAATAAGATGACAAGGCTTATTGATGGTAGGACCTCTTGGGAGTCCGCACGGGTAGGTAGCACCACCCTACCTATTTCTGCCGTGAAGCAGTAATGCGTTACAGTTTGAAGGGTGGGGCAACCGTTGTAACTATACTGAGACCTTAGAACTCATATCTCAAGGTGGGTGGCCGCATTTACGTTGTAGACGTCTATGGGCTCCAGTAACAACTCAACATCAGGTGGGCTGTGAGCTCGTCCACCCATCTATGTAATAAATTTAAAAAAAGAGGAATCGTTCCCTGAATCAGCATGATTAAAGTCGTTTTTATTGGTAAATCAGTCAATATTTAGGAATTAGCTTAGCCCAGTCTCCCCGGAAATCCATAGACAAAGCGAAGACTTGTGGTGGAATTCCCGTTTTTATTTTACACCGACCGGTCGGCCTTGATCAAATGAGTAATTCGCGCCAGAAATAATTGTGTTTCGACAACAAATAAAGTATCAAGTTGGGCTTAATAAAACAGATTAGTGGCAGGATTGAAGGGAAGGGTCATATCGTTTCAGAGGAAGACGGTGAGCCCACAACTAGCGCGGAAGGGCACAGCATCAAGGACGACGACTGTGTGCCTGTTAACGTGAGTGTTTTGCATTTTTTTTTATTGCCGCGTGACAATTGTGACTGTGGTCCATGGTCATCACCACGCGGATGCCACCTTGAGATGTAAAGTCGGAATCTCAATTGATTTTTATGATACTTGTAGGCGGACTAGACTGATGGTGAGTGGTTACCGTCGTCACGGACATCAGTAGTGCTAGGGAATGGCCAAGCAACACCAGGTGGACTGTGAGCTCGTCCTCCCATCTAAGCAATAAGCAATAAAAAAAATACATACCAATATAACGCGATTTATGACGAATGGGTCATTGATACAAGACTTGATACGTATTGTGATGGTATTAAATGTATAATAACCTTAGTATTTAACATTCCACATTCAATCGCCTCAAAACAGGATTGAAATACATACATCCGAGACGAAAACGAATCGATCCTTAACCCTGTGTTACGACAGTCAGGGTAACTATTGAGGCAGCAAAGTCCTTAAAAGTCCGCAAATTCAATATTTCGCACAAGAAAAGTCAGGGTGTAAATGTTTAGGCGCGCCAGACTTTTAGGTCTTTGTCGGTCTGTGCCGGCTAACGATTAGACCACATTCGGTCTGATTCGGACACAGAAACGGGTGATGGGACTTCTTTAACCAATTTTAACTCGAGGTGTTTTAGAATCGCTTTTGAAGTCATTTATTAAGGTTTTAAACGTAGGCCGGACGTTAGGCTAAAGTAATGGAGGTTTTGTGTAGCGAGATGGGTTGTCGACGTTAAAGCTGTCCATGGACTCCTTTAAGCATTTCATGCCTCTAAACTCACAGATGTCAAACGGACGACTATCGACAACGAACGACAGCGACGACACGATTAACGTACTCGAGCCCCAAGTGCAGATCATACCGCACTCTTCGCCCTCGCCCCCTCTCGCTCCCGCACACAAGGTCCTCCCCGCCGCCCCCCTCGTCCTCCCGGTCCCTCTGCAGGCCCTAGAACAGGCCAGACTCCAGCAGAACTTCCTACAGAAGCTAAACGAACTATCGAACACGCCTTTGAACCTGAGCAACTTGGATGATACCAGGAAGAACGGACACGAAAAAAGGTAGGTGCTTCCTCTCACAGGACACTCGATCTGGTATTGAATTGTTAGTGGAGCCCATGGACATCAAGGCTGCCAAACACTTTAGTAATGACGTTGAAGTATTCTAAATGTATGCCAATTCTTGGTAGAAATAGGACAAGACCCGGACACATCTTATTCGTTGGCATTTCAACCGCAACTCAGAATGGAATCCACACTAGAGCATCCTCTATTTCGTACCTAAAGACATCACAACGCGAACCCCGTCACCCACTTTGAGACGTGAGGTCGATGACTCAATTGTATACTGTTTATTCTACCGACCAATTGTCTTCAAACTTCACACTGCTCTGATATATAATTATCTGTAGAAATCAACTCTTGGTCGCAACTGTCATCACAGACAGTGTCCTCATTCCAATTGCCAGATGAACTGCTGTATTTTCAAAGATTTCCTTTCCACATGCCTTCTGTCTCCAGAATGAGCAGCCGAGTATTAAATTTGCTTTAATACTGGTGGTTAGATGTATTTATACCCCCAGAGGGTTACCATCCTGCCTACTTCTGCGACAATACAGTCATGTGTCGTTTAGAAAGATACACCATCCGTTATACCATACAATTCTGATTTTGACCTAGTATCTCACTGCTGCACCATATTCATGACTTCTTTTTTTTTTATTGCCTAGATGAGTGGACGAACTTACAGCCCACTTGGTGTTAAGTGGTCACCGGAGCCCATAGACATCTACAACGTAAATGCGCCACCCACCTTGAGAGAGCAGAAATAGGCAGGGTGGTGGTACCTACCTGTGCGGACTCACGAGAGGTCCTACCACCAGTTCTTCAAACAAGACCTGTGAAGATTCACTGGAATTTGTTCGATCAATATGCTTCTGTTGAGTACTGTAGCACATGCTTCACACGCTAGCTTTTATTTATCGTATTTTATAAACAAAGTAATGGCAAAGAATATGTGTTAACATTTATGAGTCGAATATTTGGGAAACTCTGGTATTTGGGTATTGCAATTGGTTACATTTTGATACTTACATCAAAACGACTGGAATCACTTGACTCGTTGTCTCGGGCAGATAGCCTACTAAAAGCCAGTTGCGGTGCTTAAAAGCTCGATATCTCGTCTTTGGGTCCACCTTATCTTGTCCATCAATGAAACATTTTATTCAATACAAGCGGCCCACTCCGGCTCCGCTCGGGTCTTTAACAAAATTTTCAACGATATTTGACGTTGTTTTATTTTTTTAATAATAGTTAGACATATGCTGTCGCGACACTTTTTGTAAATAATAATGTGTTCTACAAAATCGTAGTACATTATTTTATTCTATCATCAATAGTTTTCGCAATAGGACACGCGATGTAAAGAATATTTTAGGTATTTTTTTTACACCTTGGGTTACATTATTGGCGTTTTAGTAAGGATACCTAATTTTTTTCATAAAAGATTATACCCTATGTCACTCGGGAATAGTGTAGCTTCCAAAAGGTGAAAGAATTTTTCAAATCAGTTCAGTAGTTTCGGAGCCTATTCAATACAAACAAACAAACAAATCTTTCCTCTTTATAATATTATATATATTCAATAAACAGCCAAGACAAACTGGACGATCACATAAAGCACGAATGCGCCTCGGCCACTGAAGAGGAGAAGCTGTACTTCTCGGCGAAGAGACAGCACGCCATTTGGGAGCACGAGGCCAAGATGAAAATCCTCAACATGGAACTGAGGCAGAAGGAGGAGATATTCTCCCTCCAGAAGCAGCTGTTCCTCATTGAGTTGAGATTGAAAATGGATTTCCTGGAGAAGGCCAGCGCTAAATGAGAACAGGTGAGGTTCGAGTCTTTCCACTAGTGATCAGTATCCTAAAACTCCAATGAAGTCTTCTTCTTTTTTTTTATAATCCTACCTAAGCTGAGAGGCTTGAGAGGCTATATCAGCGTAGCCTTAACTAGAAGGTGAGCTCACGGGGCTCAAACCTGATGATGTTGCTAACACTGGCCCTAACAAGAGCGGTGCTTCGCAGAATCTACCACCGGATCGGAAACGCGACCCACTGAGAAGATCCGGCGAGAAACTCAGTGGGCTGGGTCTGAGGGTTAATTTACTCGTCGAGCCCTTCGTCGCAAGCGACGGGTTCGACTAGGACGATCACCGGAAAAGTCTTCAATGAAAGCTTTTATTGAAGACTTCATAGGAGTTTTAGGACAGTGACCTACTCTCTTTCTTTAACACGCTTTTATGAGATTGAGCCGTTACTATACATGTCCATTTCTAGTTTAAGACCAGGATATAAAAAGTATATTTTTAGTTTATTTTTTAGTCAGTAGCCGTTTTTTTTAATTCCAATTAATGTTAATAGGCATCCTAGGACGACTAGATTCGTAATGGCTGCAAAATTCAATGATGAGTGACGACTGTACCAACTATGGAGGGTAGAAGTAAGAAGCACCATCTCGGTGTATTAAACGCGAGGAGTGAAGTTGTGTGATTTGTTTTATTTTGTCTATTTAGTGTTTCTTCAGGTTTAAATGTGTAATAATGGTGGTTTATTAACTGTTTAATATCTGTGAAAGTGCACAAATGTGGGAAAATGAAACAAAGCCGCTGGACGTAACCGCTCAGGATCCTCCAAAAAGTCCACTGCAAAAATCTTAGTAAATAACCACCATTTTACTGAGATTATATTTCATCCCATTTCATTTCATTTAATTTCATCCCAGTTGATTAATGTTTCAAATTAATCATCTTCATTTCATTTCACTCCATAATATCATTTTTCATAAAAATATGAATGTAAATTAAAATAAGACATGACTTAAAGGTCTCAGTTACCAGGTCATAAAATCCCTTAAAAAATAAGATGACAAGGTTTATTGGTGGTAGGACCTCTTGGGAGTCCGCGCGGGTAGGTACCACCACCCTGCCTATTTCTGCCGTGAAGCAGTAATGCGTTACAGTTTGAAGGGTGGGGCAGCCGTTGTAACTATACTGAAATCTTATATCTCAAGGTGGGTGGCCGCATTTACGTTGTAGACGTCTATGGGCTCCAGTAACAACTTAACATCAGGTGGGCTGTGAACCCGTCCACCCATCTATGTCATAAATAAATAAAAAGAGGAATCTTTCCCTGAATTAGCATAATTAAAGTCTTTTTTGGTGGTAAATCAGTCTACATTGAGAAATTAGCTTACGGTCATAGAATCCCTTAAAAATCGGTGTATTAAAAAGCGTCCGCTGAAACGGAGCCAATTAAGATGACGCCACTGTAGCAAGTGGAAGAATTTTAAAAACAGCGCCATACTCTACCACACTGCACTCTGCTTAAAACCGTTATATTCATAATAATATTGTTTCCACTTACTACACTAGCGCTGTTTCGGTGAGTATTTCAGCAATAACTTGTTCCCTATACAAGATGGTGCTCCTTGATTTTCTCCCACATGCCTCCATAGCACAAATGATAGGTTGACTATAGATAACATTATATGTAATGCAATTGCCTACAGATTACACTATGTATTATGTGTTATAATTATGTATATCGACGCTTAAAAGGCAAACTTGATTAAGCGACAATAACTGCTTTGTACATAAATAATAGGCAATAACCATATTCGATGCGCAAAAAATATATATTTCTAGGTCTATTAAAATCATTTCAATCCTACAGCTAGATTCGTTAAAATAGAATTTTCTTCAGCTATTTCAACTTTAAATTAGTCTACTGTAAAGTTCACGCATTGTCGCTTAGTCACGTTTGCCTTTCAACCGTCGATATTTTTTCTGCAGAATTATTTATTCTTTAAAATATTTAAAAAAAAACTAATATTCATGCAGTTTTTAGTTCTTAAAGGGACAATTCATTGCTACATTCTATTTTCTTTTTTTTTATAAAGTCTCGTATACACAGGACGCTTACAAATTATCATTGAACTTTTACGATAAGCAGAGGCTTGACTCTGCCCCTGGCATTGCTGAAGTCCATGGGCGACGGTAACTACTCACCCATTAGGTGGGCCGTATGCTCGACTGCCTACAAGGACACTAAAAATTTAAAAAAGAAGATTTTTTTTTAAATGCGTGGTCGTGCTCACAGCTCTCCTGGTGTTAAGTAGTTACTGGTGCCCATAGACATCTTCAAAGTTAACGCGCCACCCACCTTGAGATACAAGTTCTAAGGTCTCAGTATAGTTACAACGGCCGTCTCGTCGACAGATGGCGCTGATCTCCGTGGAAGGTTTGAAACACCACCGGACGTCGAACGACGCGAGTTTGACAGCTGTCAGCCGACTGTCAAACGTCAAAAGCGGATTCAAGTCTAGTTGAAAAAGTGCCATTTGTAAGTAGTTACCGAATTAAAAATTAAATAAAGAGTTGATTTACTTTATTGTAGGCGTACAGCCTCAGTGTTGTCAGAAAATAATTGTTTGTTTTCATTTAAAAAAAAAAATTTATTATGAGCGATAATGTGAATAGATTATTGTTTTTATTAAATACGATTTTTGTTTTAGCCTTGAATAATAATTACAAGACTTGTTTAGCGTAACTAGTTCGAGTTAAATGCTTTAATGTGTCTGTAGTTTTTTTTTTTTTTTTTTAAACAATTACAACAATGGGTCTTCCTGTGCGATAGTTTTTTTTAGAATCGATTACAATGATAATCGATTTAAGGCGAATGATATAATCCAGTATCGAGTTTGTAGTTGTTGCTTATGTTAAATGATTTATTTTTTTATTTCAAAATGTATGATATAATAAGTGCAGGACACAGCTTAATATAAATGTGATCAAAAAAAAATCTATATTTTTGTATTCAATTATTTTATAGATAATTTTTTTTTTTTTGAAGTACAGCTTAACGTTAACGAGAATTCTTTAGATAGGCAAATGATATTACGTCGGTTTTATGTTAATTACGTTAATAGTATTGTTTTTATGGTATATTCCGTTACTACTGTTTCGTTGTTTTGTATCGGAGACCGACGATTTGCTGCGGACCGTGGACAACATTATTATAGAACCGTCAGACGCGGCACTAATGAGTCGGTTTATTAAAAATTCAACAGATGTGAAGCACTAAATGATGTTAAAAGTTTTGATTAGTTTTTATTTTTTTAATAGTGTATTGTTGTTGCGAGAGTTCAACGACCCGTCAAAGTCGTAGTCAGGAAACGTCAAAGTCCGCGCGATCTTTTGTTGCTTCATTTTATTTATTGAACGTGACATATATCAATCGGATAATGTTGTTATGCATAATCTTTACGCGTTCGTTTGAGTTTAAGTACTTAGAAGTGATTCCCCTCGTTTTTTGGGGGAAATTTAGGGGGGAGGTGATTGGGGAGAGCTTAAATGATTTAAACAAAAAATACTCAGTTTTGTTTAAAAATGAAGTATTGACAAGGAAAATATGTTTTAGAAAGAAAAAAAAAGTAAAATGCGATAATTATTATTCGCGGTCCCATCTCGTGATGCGTCTGAACGAAGCCGGCATAAGCATTAGAATAATTTACAATGAACAGAGCAATAAATAATATACAATAATCGAAGTCTGGTCTGCATATACTTGCACAACAAATGTTTGAAACATTACAAATATATATTTTTAATAACTAATAATATCAGTAATAAAAACACTATTCTTTGTCAAAGTTATCTGTCAAAAATCATTACAAGAAATCAGAACAATTTATTACGAACATTTTATTCGATAAAAATAACGAAATCAAGATTTAAGATTTATAATTAATTTTAATAATGCAAATATTTATTCAATATAAAACTGTCCAATTATAATTTCTGAAACTTACGGTCGCATTCGCGTTTTGCTTGAACACATTGTCCGAAAACGTTCGATCTCCCACCATTTTGGATTCTTGACAGGTGTCAATGACAGCTGTCAAGTGAAAAGGCACCGGGAAGACGTGTGCAGCACTAGATATATACATAGAGTGTATACGCCATCAGTGTAGTACTATTATTCCGAGTAATTTTGTATATCGGAGCGATTTTTTTTTTTTATGTTTGGACAATACTTAATTATTTTTTTTTACATGCGTTCGTTACTTAAAGTTGTGTACCTACTATTATTTAATGAACGTAGGTTCCCTGGGCAGACGAAAAAAAGCTCTTATTTAAGTCTTATCGTACTTCGGAAAGATGCCCTAATTTTTAACGAAATTTCACAATTAAAAAGCTTTTTTTTTTCGTGATAACATGTTATAAATCGATGAACACCGGCTGCACGCTCGAAAAAGTGTCACGTTCCACCCGAGAATGAGCGTGCGAGCGAGAGCGCGCAACAAGCGATAGAGAGGCACGATCGGCTCATGCGTTAATTTATCGAAAAAATTGTAATTTTCAACTAACTCAATCATTGTATTATACAAAGTAATGATAATTCAGTGACAATAATTAAATTCAATTCATAAAAATATGCAATTTTTTATTAATATTTCTTTTATGACGTTATCACGTAAAACTATCGTCCGTAAACAGACAGACATTCAATTATTTTTTTTATATCCTCGTTTCCGACATTGTATCGCTTGGTTTAGGAAAATTCCATCATAAATTCTCGCATGCACTGTTTTAAATTATTTCGCGTCAATAATGTGCCAATAAACGCAAAACGTTGTTGATAATAAATATTAAACTAGTTATTACATATATAAGTAATTATTACTTTATTATTATTATTATTTTTTTGTTTTGTTAAATACATTTTTAAAATGTTAGTAATTTTTAGAAACGTTTCGTGTTTCATGCGCCTTTCGCGTTCTGAAGTGTTGTCGGATTAAAATTAAATCTCCCCAAAAAATTGGGGAAATTGACATTTTCACGAAATTTTATTGATAAATACTCAGTATTAATTTTCTAATGTATTATAAATAAAAATGGTTAAAGTATTCTTTGTTTTTAACGAAATACGAATGAGACACGAACGTTCCGAGCGATTATTATGATATTATTAAAAGTAAAAAAAATATAATATAGTTAAATAGATATTTATAGAGCAGAAAATAATAAATTAAAAAAACACACACAGTACAAAACAATAATAGCAAAAAGGTTACCTCAGATTTTTTGTAAACATTGTAAATATTTAGGGTTAGTTGTATAAAGAATAAAGAAATTTTAGAGATTTTTATGAATACAGAGGCGACTTACACCTCCTGTGGCCGATTCCGATCGACACTGCCAATTTTTTAGGTGAGAAGCAAATGTGGAATTTTTGCTCAACTATGTGGCAACCCAGGTAATTTTTTTTTTAGCCCGTTAGACTTGGTGCCAGACTGCTCTGGCAATACATTAAATGTAATTTAAAAAAAAAAACGTTTATAGCAATAATATTGTGATTTAAGTGAAAGATCTCAAGCCAGATTAAAAAATAATAAAATATGTAATTATTAATTATTTGTATTCGCAAAATTGTTAGTTTTGTATTAAATTTCCAAGAAAACGTTTTTTTTTTCTTTTTTTCTTTTTGTAATTAATTTGTTTAAATGTCAAAAAAATTTAAATACGATACGTTAATCTGATGAAATTGGATATGAAATTATACGAAATAAATATTTTATTTTCTGTTCTAATGTTTTTTATTAATCGTGTCGTCAAAACCTTTGAGTTTGAGCCGCGGCGGCCGCGCGGTAACTTGCCCTTGGCTGCTTCGGCTGATTATACTGGTGGTAGGACCTCTTGTGAGTCCGCGCGCAGTAATGCGTTTCGGTTTGAAGGGTGGGGCAGCCGTTGTAACTATACTTGAGACCTTAGAACTTATATCTCAAGGTGGGTGGCGCATTTACGTTGTAGATATCTATGGGCTCCAGTAACCACTTGACACCAGGTGGGCTGTGAGCTCGTCCAGCCATCTAAGCAAAAAATAAATAAATTAATGAACACCAATGACAGTTTACTGCTTTATATATATATGGAGGAGAGAGGTAGGGAGCACCATCAGGTATAGGGGACAAGTTGCATAAGTATCCACCTGTAAACAGCAAGTTTTTTGTTTTTTTATTGCTTAGATGGGTGGACGAGCTCACAGCCCACCTGGTGTTAAGTGGTTGGTTACTGGAGCCCATAGACATCTACAACGTAAATGCGCCACCCACCTTGAGATATAAGTTCTAAGGTCTCAAGTATAGTTACAACGGCTGCCCCACCCTTCAAACCGAAACGCATAACTGCTTCACGCCAGAAATAGGCAGGGTGGTTAGCAACCGTCTTGCAACCCCTGTATTCAATGAAACGTTTTAATATGTGAGGATATGGCCTTATGGGACTGTAACGATGGTTGACGTTGTCTGGAATCACATAAGAATGAAGAGATTGACCTTATGGAACAGTATGTACATATATTTGAAAGACAAGGGAGGTCAATCGGTACAAGTGCAATATTCGTATGCCGTATCACTCTTGTCAGAGCGGTCATGGTCGTCATCTAGCATCCTTGCTGTCGGTAGATGTTATGCGCCTCACAATCAATCGCCACTCCTCCCGGTTTTTTTTTTTTATTGCCCTTGTTGGCAGACGATCATACGGCCCACCTGATGGTGAGTGGTTACCGTCGCCCATGGACTTCAGCAATGCCAGGGACAGAGCCAAGCCGCTGCCTACCGCTGGTTTGTGGTGAGTCTGGTACACTCATGCAAAAACAACCACCAACTGCCGACTTGGCTTGGTCGGTCCATCGCATGGGCAACCTTCCACGCGGTCTGGTGCCTTCCACTTTGGGAAACCACTGCAATTAATCTTCCCAAGAAAGTCGTTATGAAAGTACCAGTGCAGTTCTTACTACAAATTTGTAATTATAAACTCTGTCTGTCAACTTACCTTCCAGATTCTGTACGGACCAATTGAAAAGGCATAAGATATCATAGATACTATTGAAGTCTTTAATCATACAGTTCGTTGTTTGTGAATTGTGGAAAAGGATCAGATCTTCGTTGGCACGATACGAACGCTATACGAAGCGGCACGACATGATAACCTTCTTATTCTGGCCGCTGATAATTACTTATCCCCCGGATTCCCTCTCGGTCCTTTTAAGCTCTTCAAGCACAGGTCACCAGGTCCAAGAGTCCGTCGAGCGAACTAACCCAAAGACACAGCCCACTGAGTTTCTCGCTGGATCTTCTCAGTGGATCGGGATTTTATGCCATAGATAATATTCCATTAATTTATTTATTTATTTAAAAAAGTACTGCCACATCACAAACATCTAACATTGAAAAGAAAAAACTATTTAATTTATGGCCTGATGCATGTGACAACAATGGCGTACATAGCATTGGCAATTCATCGGCTCAAAAATGGAATACAATAATAATAATAATAATAATAAAAAACAGTACTATTTGTTGAAATCTATATATTAATACGTGAAGCAAAAACTTTGTATCCCTTTTTACGAAAATTGCGCGGACGGAGGAGTATGAAATTTTCCACACCTATAGAGAATATAGAGAAGAAGTGCACAATGCTAATATTTTTTTTAAATAATGCATAAAAGATACATTAAATCAATAAAGAAAACATTACACACACTACATACCATGTATTTGACGCACACACGCATGCATACTATTTATTGTCAAACTTTTGTTCTTGTCGTCTGTGGTCAAATTGAGAATAGATTAAATATTGTTTTTCTTTATTAATATTTTTTTATAGTGTAGGCTTGGTGAAATTTGTGATTATAGAAGTATAAAATACAATCATAATAGTGTACAAACTTACAATTCCAATTAATTAGAGTCAATTTCGACTACTGCGGGACCTCTAGTATTAATAAAAATGTCTAAAAAAGTCATGTCATATCGAAAAGAAGAAATGTTAATACAATGTCAACCAACAACAAGTCAGTTATAGAACAACAAATGATCAGCAATTAAAGTTAAGGTCCCTTTTCTTCTTTTCCTATTTTATCCTTAAATACACGCAACTTTCGTTTCATTCATCAACATTCTTTGGTCACATCTCCAGAAAAGAGCGCTCGATGGAGAGACTGGTAGTCCAGGGCCGGGCGGAAGACAGAAGATCACGCGGCCGCTCACCGACCCGCTGGACTGACCTAATAAAGAAGGCAACTGAGTCCACTATGGTCGAATGTACTCGTAACGCTTCGAACCGCCAGACCTGGAAGCGCATTGCCTGGAGGGCGGTCGTCGGGAGCATGGGCGACCTAACCGGTCTTACTGCACATACAGCGTCAACGCAACCACGACCACTCTGACAAGAGTGTCCGACTGAGAAGAACAAGACACGCAACTTATCGTGGAACACATTAAGATCGGATCATCTCTTACTTTTATTTACTTTTTTCGAGCGTATGTTCATATAAGCCGCGCCAATAAACGCGTCTATGTACCTGCACTGACAGATGGTAGGGTCAACAAATAAAAAGAAAGATAGAAAAAGTTGTTTATTGTAAAAAAATATAAAAGAACATATGAGAATGAACTTTACTTTATGCTCTGACAGAGGGGAAGTGTCTCATCTGGGATGCAACTTGCGTAGACGCTTTTGCAGCCAGTCATCTAAGTCGCACAACTCGAAAGTGAAAAAACTCGAACTCAACAACGAAGTCAGAACTGATATTTTTTTTTGCATGCAGTACGCGCAGTGTGCGTTTTTTTTTTTTTTTTTTTACCTAAGCTGATAGCCTTTAGAGGCTATTTCAGCGTAACCGTGGCTAGTAGGTGAGCTCACGGGGCTCAAACCTGATGACGATGCTAACACGAACCCTAGCAAGAGCCGTGCTTCGCAGAATCTACCACCGGATCGGAAACGCGACCCACTGAGAAGATCCGGCGAGAAACTCAATGTGCTGTGTCTGAGAGTTAATTTACTCGTCGAGCCCTTCGTCGCGAAGGCAAGCGACGGGTTCCATGAGAACGGTGACCGGTGCTTGAAGTACCTAAGAGCGCCGTTAGTGGATCGGGAGGATCCGAGATGACGTGTTGGTGCGACTAAAGACAGTGTTAACGCCTCTGTCTTATCTGCGTGTCGTCTATAATCTATAATAAACTAACTACTTTGTAATTTAAATCTAATCTGTCTCTTAAGAGGGACTTTTTGGCGGGAACGCGAGGAGTGAAGTTGTGTGATTTGTTTTATTTTGTCTATTTAGCGTTTCTTCAGGTTTAAATGTGTAATAACGGTGGTTTATTAACCGTTTAATATCTGTGAAAGTGCACAAATGTGGGAAAATGAAACAAAGCCGCTAGACGTAACTTCTCGGGATCCTCCGAAAAGTCCACTGAAAAAATCTTAGTAAATGACCACAATTTTTCTGAGATTATAATTATTTCATCCCATATCATCTCATTTAATTTCATCCCAGTTGATTAATGTCTCAAATTAATCATCTTCATTTCATTACACTCCATAATATCATTTTTCATAAAAATATGAATATAAATTAAAATAAGACATGACTTAAAGGTCTCAGTTACCAGGTCATAAAATCCCTTAAAAAAAATACTAGAAAAACAATTCCCGCTTCTTTTTGTACCTACTTCATTCAATTTATACAAGCTTCTTGCTTCTTTACAAATGTATTCATCTCTACTCTAACAAATTATTGTACAAATATAAAATAAAGTCTCGTCACAGAAAACAACGGGATTTCATTGTATCATCAGATAGAGACAGCAATAGTTTAGAGCGAGAGCGCATGATCGCCGCCGCCATTTTAGATTCGTTTCTTTATTGGCGCCACTTATATCTATTTTTTTGGTACGCTCTGCGGCCGTAATCTTTTGCCAAATGAGGTGTCATTAGATTCATCATAATTGTAGGAGTGAGTCACGCAAATAAAAACTGAACCTGCATTCCAGTTACATTTCCACAGTTGTATACACTTTTCAGTATTATGTATGATATTTTCTGTTTGTCTCTTATAGGTATGCTCATTCAGTAATCTATTCTGTAGACCCTAATGTTGTTCACCTCAACAATAACCACGAAACGTTCGACCAATCAGAATTGAATAAAACAAACCTTTCAATTAATTTAAATATATATATTTTTTTGCTTTATATCAAATTATTCTTACAGTCAAAAGTAAATACCATCAGTTAAATTTACAAACAGATCAATTGCTAGAGCCATGTAAACAAATCACATTGGGTTTACCTTAAGCATTACAAAACACATCTCTCGAACTGTGACAATGGACCAAGCGACTCCAGTTTTGTTTCTGAACATATACCCCCCTCCTCTCCTCTACCCTCCCCCCACTCCTCCCAACTAGGTTTTCCCAAGGAAACTTTCACGGTCCAGAAATTTAATCCATCTCGGGGTCCAAAGAGTATTTTCTGTCTATAGCAATGTCAAGTAATCCAAGAATAATTTACTGTTCAATCTACAAATTTTTTTTTATTGTTTCAGACCCACGTTGCGACGTGGGTGGATACTATGATATTTAAAAATTAAGACTGCCACTTCAATTTTCAATTGTAAATCATCTTTTATAGTATGAGGTAGCGCCCTCTGTGAATTGATATTTGACTTCACGTCTAATGTGTTCTATCTCATTCTCTCGCCGGCTGAATCCTATACATTTATGTGTTTGTGTCTCTATGGACTTATTTTTTCGTTTCGTTTCATTTCGTTTCATCGAGTTTGAAATCACAACGATTCATAACTCCGGGCCTAGCGTCGAGTGGGGGGTCGAGATTCGTACAAAAACCCGTTTCACTTTTGTTCGTTACGTTAATTCAGTCGTGTTCCTTACGGACGGTCTGCGCGCGTCGGTCAGGGCGCCGGCGCGTGTGCGGCGTGCACCCGGGCGTGCGCGCGCAGGCCGGACGGCTTGCGGAAGCTCTGTCCGCACTGCGCGCACACGTACGGGCGCTCGCCGGTGTGGCAGCGGATGTGCGATATCAGGTCGTTGCGCTGAAACCAACAACCACAGGTTTGAAGGGTTCCATCCCTTTTTTTCTACCTAAGCTGATGCTCTTGAGGGACCATATCAGCGTAACCTTAACTAGTAGGTGAGCTCACGGGGCTCAAACCTGACGACGTTGCTAACACGAACCCTAGCAAGAGCAGTGCTTCGTAGAATCTACCACCGGATCGGAAACGCGACCCACAGAAGATCCGGCGAGAAACTCAGTGGGCTGTCTGTGGGTTAATTTACTCGTCGAGCCCTTCGTCGCAAGCGATGGGTTAGACGAGAACGACGACCGGTGTTAGATGTACATAAAAGCACCGTTAGTGGATCGAGAGAATCCGAAATGACGTGTTTTGGACGACGTCGACTCTTTACCATTCGGTCCACAGGATCGGGAATGAGGGTTCCATCCAATGCCAATGCAGCAATCTGCAAGGTGTTAGGAGCATACCGCGAAGCACTGTGCAGTGAGAAGTGCTCAAACTATAAACTGTTTTAAAAGAATGGTGAAGGAACACTGCATATCTGCTAAGTGCTGTTTGTTTGCATCATCATTTATTATTTCCATACTGTTGATGTATTGTGTGTATGTAAGTATGTATATTGGTATATAAATATTGGTATATATTTTGTTTATTGTATATATATATATTTTCTATAATAATGTATTATCTATATTACACCGCAACATACCTGCTATATTTTTATATTTTCTAGAATTTCTGTAAATTAAACGGTTGTCCGGAAGAGATCGCTTTTAGCGATAAGACCGCCTGTTGTACAAATGTATCTGCTTTTTTTTATTATTTTTTGAATGTAAATGATGTTTTGGTGTGCAATAAAGTGTACTCTCTCTCTCTCTCTTTCTCTCTCTCTCTCTCTCTCTCTCTCTCTCTCTCTCTCTCTCTCTCTCTCTCTCTCTCTCTCTCACTGTGACCCGCGTCAGCCCGCAATGTACAACGTTATGTGTACCTGCACAAAAGCCTTCTCGCAATACGAGCAGTGGTAGGGCCTCTCACCGGTGTGCCGCCGACGGTGGTTCTTCAAGGTGCCGGAAACCGCGAAACGGAGTGGACAGAGATCACAAGCGTATGGTCGCTCGCCTGCGGAAAAGAGAATATAATTTGATCATGAATTACATGACCCTAGGCGGATCGTTGTATCTGTTGAAAGGTCGTGATGGTGTCTACATACAATTGTCTATGATGCACTACATTTGAATTTGTATTTTTTATTTATTGCTTAGATGGGTGGACGAGCTCACAGCCCACCTGGTGTTAAGTGGTTACTGGAGCCCATAGACATCTACAACGTAAAATGCGCCACCCACCTTGAGATATAAGTTCTAAGGTCTCATTATATTTACAACGGCTACCCCGTCCTTCAAACCGAAACGCATTACTGCTTCACGGCAGAAATAGGCAGGGCGGTGGCGTGGACTCACAAGAGGTCCTACCACCAGTAAAGTAAGTGAGGTGTCATTCTGAATTATATTTTCTCATATACAACTAAACACAATGTTTCAAGTATTATTTACGTTTATAATTAATTGCTACAGCCGCTAGCCCGTCCTATCAGTATCGTGCCATCTAAGCCTCTAAACCTGTTCCACAAACAAATTAACTGTGTGATTAATGACTTGAATGGTACCTGCGATATTCAATTACTTTTGGCTTTCCGTTTGGCCCGTACAGAAACAGGAATGTATGTAATTAGTGGCGGCCAGGATAAGAAGTTTATCATGTCGTGCCGCTTCGTGTAGCGTTCGTATCGTGCCAACGAAGATCTGATCCTATTCCACAATCCACAAACAATGAACTATGCGATTAATGACTTGAATGGTACCTATGATATCTTATGCCTTTTCAATTGGTCCGTACAGAATCTGGAAGGTAAGTTGCCGGACAGAGCTTGTAATTACAAATTTGTAGTAAGTACCGCACTCGTACTTTCATAACGACTTTCTTGGGAAGATTAGTTGCAGTGGTTTCCCAAAGTGGAAGGCACCAGACCGCGTGGAAGGTTGCCCATGCGATGCACTGACCAAACCAAGTCGGCAGTTGGTGGTTTGGGAGGCTTGACGACAAAGGGAAGATATCTTCCACCGAGCGGGTGATATTTGCTCGGTAGACCGACGGTCCGAATGTTGTTGTTTGGAACTTGTATATATGCGCTTTATCTTGAAAATGTCGTAAGCGAGATTCAGGCATCAGTCAATTATCTTGCGTTGTATGATGGCTACCCGCCACAGTGGTTGTTTTTGCATGAGTGTACCAGACTCACCACAAACCAGGAGGAGTGGCGATTGATCGTGAGGCGCATAACATCTGCCGACAGTAAGGGTGCTAGATGACGACCACGACCGCTCTGACAAGAGTGATACGACATACGAATACTGCACTTGTACCGATTGACCTCCCTTGTCTTTCAAATATATGTACATACTGTTCCATAAGGTCAATCTCTTCAATCTTATGATTCCAGACAACGTCAACCATCGTTACAGTCCCATAAGACCATATCCTCACACATTAAAACGTTAAAATGAATACAGAGGTTGCAAGACATGACTTTTTTACTGGTGGTAGGATCTCTTGTGAGTCTGCACGGGTAGGTATCACCACCCTGCCCATTTCCGCCGTGAAGCAGTAATGCGTTTCGGTTTGAAGGGCGGGGCAGCCGTTGTAACTATACTTGAGACCTTAGAACTTATCTCAAGGTGGGTGGCGCATTTACCTTGTAGATGTCTATGGGCTCCAGTAACCACTTAACACCAGGTGGGCTGTGAGCTCGTCCAACCAAACTAAGTGACTCTTGTCACATCCTTAAAACAATGATTAGACTGACCAGTGTGGATCCTTCTATGTTTGACGAGTGAACTGGAGGTAGTGAAGCCACGCCCGCAGTCGTCACACACGAACGGATGAGCGCCGCTGTGCTTCCGACTGTGAGCTTCTAACTCCCCTTTGGAAACGAAACTGAAAATTTCATTTTCATATTGAGCTTCCAAAAAAACACATCGAACACTCAATATTTATCCGAAGTATGTTATCACTACATAGTATAAAACAAAGTCGCTATCTCTGTCCCTATGTATTCTTAAAACTTTAAAACTACGCAATGGATTTTGATGCGGTTTTTTTTAATAGATAGAGTGATTGAAGAGGAAGGTTTATATAAATAAATAAATAAATATTTACTAACAATCACGCTACGTTAACTGGTCCCGTGATAAGTTCGTAAAGAACTTGTGTTACAGGTACCAGATAACGGAAATAAATGTAATATTTTTATTATACACATACATATATTTATTTAATATACATCCATAACCCTGGAAAAGACATTTATATTTATCATACAAATATCTTCCCTTGGCGGGATTCGAACCCGCGACCCCCTTGTGTAGTGACCATGTCACTTACCACTACACCAGACAGCCGTTGAATATGTATAACATCCATTAAATAGTGGAGAATAAATAATAAATTACAGTTACTAAATTGATGTCATAAAGTATTCCTGATATTGTTCTGCAATTTAAAAACATGTCCCATTTTATTAAATGTTATTTACATATTTTCTAAGTAAAATTGAAACATGTCCGCAGGGAAAAATGAAGATTCCATTGTAGTCATTGTGCCAATGACCACTGGTTTCATGTTTAGAATTAACCCATTTGTTACCAGATCCTCTCGGTGGGTCGCAATTCGTATCCAGTATTAAATTCAGCAAAGCAGTGCTTTTAAGTTAAAAGTTGTGGGGAGTTATGTGATCTATGAAATATGCATTAATTTTCCCCTTAACTTGACACCATTTGGTTCAATATCTATTAAGGTTAGAATGCTCAGTTACAGGAATTTTTAGTGTCTTCGATTCCCAGCTTGCTACCTACCATAGGGATAGGGATATTTATTTATTAGAGCTTTACACTAACAACAACTTTACAAGATTTTTTTAAACTTAATATTTGATCTTTTTAAGTAAACCTAAGATGTTCTCATGGACCAATACAAATACACAAGCTATTTGTTTGATTTAAGAAGACACAAAAGTGAACAAATAGAAAGAAAATACTGATCCAATTTCACCTTCCATATTCCTACTAGCAATGAATCAACAGACTTACAAATAAATGCAGTTATGGGTCTCGTCTTCAATGCCACTAACCTTTTCTCACAATTTTCGCACTGGTGGGGCTTGTTACCCTGATGTCTTCTCACGTGCTGAGCCAAGTTATTCTTCTGCGTGAAACCCTTCCCACATATCGCACATAAAAATGGTCTTTCCCCTGTGTGCACCCTCAAATGGTCTCGCAATGTCGAAGCCATATAGAAACTTTTATGACAAATAAGGCACTGATGTTTTTTCTCTATTATATGAGCATTCCGATGTATCTCGAATGTGTCTTTACTATCGAATGATTGCATACAGAATTCGCATGTGAAACCGTTCCGAGTGTGCATCGATATTATATGACTTTCTAAGTACCCTTTGTACTTGAATTCCCTTTTACAAACATCGCATATGTACTTTGATGAGTCCCGATCGTGTCTGTTTAGATGAGTATGCAATGAGGTTTGTTTTTTAAACTTTTTTGGACATACGTTGCATTGAAATGTTTCTTTCGTCTTTTCCTTGTGCATCTGCTGGTGTGAGCTCCAAGCTGACACATTAGCGAATTTCTGATCGCATTTTTGACATTCTATCTGGTTCGTTATCGGTATTAACCGGGGGTTCGTTTTCTTTTTAACCTTCTTTAATTTGTTACCATTGCACGTTTTTAAGTCTGATCTGTTTTTATCTTTGTATTTAACTGTTTGTTTCAAATTTAGGCTTTGGGTGTCGTCGTCGGGAACGTTGCAATCGTCCAATTCTTCTTTTATTGAATCAGCGTCATTAACATCATCCGTTAATATATCGAAGTTTTCAAATGAACATTTCTTTATTGTGATGTCATTTAAATTCTTAACACAAAAAGCTGCGTCTGTTTCGGAATGTTTCAAAGCTTCCGTGATACATTCGTAGTTGCTTTCGTTCTTTAGTATCGTGTTTTGGTCAATTTCTATAAAACTTAACTTTTTTTCTGTTGCCCCGATGCAATTTTTCAAAGCCGTCTCAGATTCTAAGCAACGACGTTTGAAGGATTCAGCCTTAATCATTACAGTTTCGCACTCGACGCAGATAAATTTTGGTAGTCGCTCATCATTAATAATGTTTCTATCCATAACAAATTCTAAAACATCTTGTAGTTTACGATTGTCGTTTATATTAGAATTTAGCGACCTCATATCCGTCGATTCAGAGAGACATGTCCGGCATATCTTTTCGAATTTCACTGCATCCATCGCTATTGTTTTTGTTCAAATTAATCGAAGTTTTAATTTATAATGTTTAGACTCAACTTTATCTGGAATGCGGATCATAATTCACATCAATTTACAATAAATTCAAGTTGACATGCAGTTGACGGCATTGAAACGTCAATGTCAAACATACATTTTCAGATATTTTAATTAACCAACGGAAACATAGTTATTCAGCCATTTAAAGTGAATTTTAAACAGCTACTTATATTTTATTGGGTACAGGGTTAAGTGGATACAACTTGCAAGGGCCCAATGTACCAGCGAGGTTCCCGAGACTACAACAACAACACTTAATCATTATACACAATATACCTTTATACCATTAGGCATGACACACACATTATTATGCGGTAGTTCTTTTTGACGTTCAACAAGTATGTACTTTCATTTATGATGAATAAAAAAAATTTGATTTGATTTGATTGAATATGATTACATGGACAGTACAGTACGATCACAAGATGTTTAAAAAAAATATATGCAAATGTTACATACAGATACAATATATTTTTTTAAGTAAAGTCAAAATTATTTTCCTATTTTAATATTAATATGAAGTAAATTTGAAATGTGTTGCAAACTAAGTTAAATAAATGTAATTTGATATGGAGCATCCAGCATACCAAAAAAAAACAGTATTACTCAATAAATAATTTATTTCTTGACTTGCAGTGCTTGGAGACGTTTTTTCAGATCGAGCAATACATTTACTTCAGGCTGCCACACGGCCTTGTCTTTTGTTGAGGCTTTCAATTTCCGGACTTTGTCACCCTGAGACAAAAAAAAAGTTGACATTATCGCGGGAATTTTCATTTTTTTTTTAATAAATTTTTATTGGCTTGGTAAACGGCTTAATACTCTCCACAAGCTCCGTTTGAAGAAGGAATATATACAAGTTCTGAACAACAGCATTGAGACCGTCGGTCACCCACTCAGTGGAAGATGTTCCCTCTGTCGTTAAGCCACTCTGTGGCCACGTGTGCCACGCACAAAGAGGAGACCGAGAACGTCTAATGTGTTCTATCTCATTCTCTCGGCGGCTGAATCCTATACATGTATGTGTTTGTGTCTCTATGGACTTATTTTTTCGTTTCATCGAGTTTGCAATCACGACGATTCTAAAAAAGTTTCACTTCAAAAATTATCGTTTTGCCTAAACGACACATCTCAAGTTACCTGCTCAGCAATAGCTTTCTCTAAGCTGGCCACATCGCCAGCGGCCTGGTTCGTTGCTGGTCGCGTTTCAGCTTGCTTCTGAGCTTCGGTGAGCCGTTTCTTCAGCTCTAACAGCTTCTCAACCTCGGGTTGCCACACTGACTTATCTTTCGTTGTCGACTTCAATTTTCTAACTGCATCGCCCTGGTCAAAATGAAAACGTGATGAGCCTTAACCCTTCGACTACCGCACTAGCGCGTAGGTCACCGGTGCCCTACGCGGCGCATTCGAGTAATTATGATGTTACCTGTTACTAAGGCACCATAATATCTAATAGACTATCGTGTAATCTCTATATCTATTATCTATCTCTACATATAAAAGTGAATTGCTGTTCGTTAGTCTCACTAAAACTCGAGAACGGCTGGACCGATTTGGCTCATTTTGGTCTTGAATTATTTGTGGAAGTTCAGAGAAGGTTTAAAAGGTAGATAAATATGAAAATGCTCGGAATTAAATAAAAATAACAATTTTGTTATTCCTTTGATGTGTCCCCCGTCGGACGGATTCCTTTTGTTTGTTTTAAGTTTATTTTATACAAAAGTTTAGGTATTTTGTTTATCGATTGAGGCACTACGAAGTCTGCCGGGTCAGCTAGTCGTGTAATAAAAATTATAATTTTAATAATTACTGGTGGTAGGACCTTTTGTGAGTTCGCGCGGGTAGGTATCACCGCCCCGCCTATTTCTGCCGTGAAGCAGTAATGCGTTTCGGTTTGAAGAGTGGGGCAGCCGTTGTAACTATACTGAGACCTTAAAACTTATATCTCAAGGTGGGTGCCGCATTTACGTTGTAAATGTCTATGGGCTCCAGTAACCACTTAATACCAGGTGGCTGTGAGTTCGTCCACCCATCTAAGCTATCAAAATAAAATAAAAAAGTGTGTGTCTGTGCAAGTCACACATGGTAGTAGTGAAACTTATAAATAAGATATAGATCTACTGAGTATCCCACTACACAGGAGCATACATGTGGACAAGGTTCAGTAGACGGTAGTGGGGATGCTACGAAGAGAACGTATAATGTGTTCTATCTCATTCCCTCGCCGGCTGAATCCTATACATTTATGTGTTTGTGTCTCTATGGACTTATTTTGGAACGAAGTTCCTCATCGCGCTTTGTGAAAGGGGGCTAGACGGAAAAAATTCTTACGAAAAGTTGTCACGACACTTTTTAGATCCGTCATTCTGACCAATCAACGTGTAGGCGCTTATCGCGTGACATTGCTCGTATCCGATTGGTCCGCGTAATGAGTACAGTTTCTCGAGATAGCGTTTCAACAATAGTAATTTAGTTCATAGTATTGTTTNTCGTATCCGATTGGTCCGCGTAATGAGTACAGTTTCTCGAGATAGCGTTTCAACAATAGTAATTTAGTTCATAGTATTGTTTTTTTCTTCTTCATAATGCCGTAATTTATTATTATAACTTAAAAAAAAAAATTACAATTCCTTCACTAATTAATCGAAAGGAACTTCGTTCCATCCGGGTGTCCCTTGACACCTCTGAAGTTTTTTTCGTTTCATCGAGTTTGAAATCACAACGATTCTAAAGAAGTTTCACTTCAAAAATTATCGTTTTGTCTAAACGACACATCTCAAGTTACCTGCTCAGCAATAGCTTTCTCTAAGCTGGCCACATCACCAGCGGCCTGGTTCGCTGCTGGTCGCGTTTCAGCTTGCTTCTGAGCTTCGGTGAGCCGTTTCTTCAGCTCTAACAGCTTCTCGACCTCGGGCTGCCACACTGACTTATCTTTCGTTGTCGACTTCAATTTTCTAACTGCATCGCCCTGGTCAAAATGACGACGTAATGAGCCTTAACCCTCTGACTGCTGCACTACGGCGTAGGTCACCGGTGTCCTACGCGGCGCACTAATTTTTTTAATTTATTGATTAGATTGGTGGACGAGCTCACGGCCCACCTGGTGTTAAGTGGCTACCGGAGCCCATGGACATCTACAACGTAAATGTGCCACCCACCTTGAGATATAAGTTATAAGGTCTCAGTATAGTTGCAACGGCTGCTCCGAACTTCAAACCGAAACGTATTACTGTTTCACGGCAGAAATAGGCAGGGCGGTGGTACCTACCCGTGCGGACTTACAAGAGGTCCTACCACCAGTTCAGCCAATCTTTACCAGCCACTGTTACAATTTCGTCTACACTGTTGGACATAGGCCTCTCTCGCACGCCACTAAGCACGATCCTCGGCTTCTCTCATCTCATCTCACTATCTTTGCCAATTTGCGGTCATTAGGAGTTACATCTCTTATCTTTATCATTATCTCTTGACATTTCTGACTTTTTGGCGGGAACGCGAGGAGTAAAGTGGTGTGATTTGTTTTATTTTGTCTATTAAGTGTTTCTTTAGGTTTAAATAAGGTGTTAACTGTTCAATATCTGTGAAAGTGCACAAATATGGGAAAATGGAACAAAGCCGCTGGACGAAACTTCTCGGGATCCACCAAAAAGTCCACTGAAAAAATCTCAGTAAATCAGCATCATTTTACTGAGATTATATTTTATCTAATATCATTTCATTTAATTTCATCCCGGTTGATTAATGTTTTAAATTAATCATCTTCACTTCATTTCATTTCACTCCATATTATCATTTTTCATAAAATTAAGATTATGAATTAAAATAAGACATGACCTAAAGGTGTTAGTTACTAGGTCATAAAACCCTTTAAAAATTCTTGACAGATATATCACTTTGCAATTGAATATTTGTTTATTAAAATTGAAAATGGCAATAAAATTGGACAATGTTCTCACCTGCTCACCTATCGCCTTCTCTAATTCAGCTGTATCTATCGTTTTGGAGTTTTTCTACAAAAATACCATTAGAAAGATTAATAAAGGCATGAATGAAAGATAGTCTTTGTTATCAATATATTTTTTGGCTCCAACGAGTGAAGGAGCTCGCTGGGCAATGCCATCGGGGCCCGTGGACATCACCGACGCTGCTATCAATGATAAGACGTGAGGTCGATGTTGCTATCACACAACATCCTTAGCACTTGACCATCACACAGTGGACTTGAATGAAGCTCATCAGCCCCGTGTGAGATCCAAGTCTTGGCTGTATCTATCTGCCGTTGTAACTATACTGAGACCTTAGAACTTATACCTCAAGTTGGGTGGCGCATTTACGTTGTAGATGTCTATGGGCTCCGGTAACCACTTAAAACCAGGTGGTATGTGACCTCGTCCACCTATATAAGCAATAAATAAAAAAAGGTTATTTGAGATGACCCCCCTTCATCTTGGGTCTGACCGCCGGAGTGGGGTTCATTCAGTGGGGGGTCCATTTCGATAAAGCGACCCGACACGAGAACCCTCTCATCGTGGCTGCCGGTAATTACATCCGCGATCCTGTGGACCGAATGGTAAACAGTCGACGTCGTCCAAACACGTCATTTCGGATCCGCCCGATCCACTAACGGTGCTTTTAGGCACCACAAGCACCGGTCATCGTCCTCGTCGAACCCGTCGCTTGCGACGAAGGGCTTGGCGAGTAAATTAACTCTCAGACACAGCGGACTGAGTTTCTCGCCGGATCTTCTCAGTGGGTCGCGTTTCCGATCCGGTGGTAGATTCTGCGAAGCACGGCTCTTGCTAGGGTTCGTGTTAGCAACGTCGTCCGGTTTGAGTCCCGTGAGCTCACCTACTAGCCCGGTGACGCTGATATAGTCTCTCTAGACCAACAGCTTAGGTAGGAATAAAAAAAAGTGCAATATTTTTGGATTTGTTTAACATCACGCTACTGCCTCATCGTATCCATTTAGCCAAAAGAGCACTGACCTGGAAAGTGTCTGGCAAAAGATAAGAGATGCCGTCTCAGAACAACTTGGTGACGCTCAGTAGACGTGGGATATAGAACAGACTACGGTGTGAATGGAAGAATTTGATTGATCCTTACAGCAGAGGGTCTTTTTTTTCTAAAGAAGAATACTGCCTCTTTTTTTCCTACCTATTCTCTGATAACCTAAGAGGCTATTACAGCTACGCCTGGACGCGTAGATAAGCTCGCGGGCTCAACCTGAGAGAATTTGCTAACACTGACCCTAGCAAGAGCCGTGCTTCGCAGAAGCTACAACCGGATCGGAAACGCGACCCACTGAGAAGATCCGGCGAGAAACTCAGCGGACTGTGTCTCGTCGTAGAAATATTTCGTGAGTGCCGGGGAGGTCGCCTTGGCCTCACCTCGCACTCTTTGAAGAGAGGAGAAGTTACAGCCCACTTTGAGCTCCAGCTCTACGTACCTTATCTGCCCTCTGGCTCTGCGTGCCGGCGTACCTCGCCCTCAGCTCCTCGAGCCTCTCCTGCTCGATCTTCACGAATAAGGGCTCCGGTTTCCCGATGACGTGACCCGGCGGCAGGTACCGGAGGAGCCTGGGGTTCCTGAGGGGGAAACCGCCACACTTGAATCCCGAAGCATTCGTTACTGAACTTGCTAACGGAGAGAATGTTTAAGGTCTCAGTATAGTTACAACGGCGGCCCCACCCTTCAAACCGAAACGTATTACTGCTTCACGGCGGAAGTAGGCAGGGTGGTGGTACCTACCCGTGCGGACTCACAAGAGGTCCTACCACCAGTAATTACGCAAATTATAATTTTGCGGGTTTGATTTTTGTTAAAGAATGTTATTCCTTCACCGTGGAAGTCAATCGTGAACATTTGATGAGTACGTATTTCATTAGATAAATTGGTACCCGCCTGCGGGATTCGAACACCGGTGCATCGCTACATACGAATGCACCGGACGTCTTATCCTTTAGGCCACGACGACTTAAGGTGATTTCCATTTTAAAGAATGTCTTTGGTCTTCGGTATCCGCATCGCGCGAACCGAGAGTTATAAAGAAAAAAAAACTTTGGAACTGTTTAGTTGTAAGGTTAGAGTTTATATAGTTTAAGTTCACTGTTTGTCTTCCTAATAAAATAAATAAATAAAAAACTCACTCGGGGTTCAGTCGGAGCTTTTCGGCGTCCACGTTGAGTTGTCCGCGGAGCTTGCGCGTCGTGTCCGGCACGTACGGCGCCAGCAGCGCGCACAGCAGCGCCACGAGCTGGCAACACAGACCGATGGCTGTTGCGCCCCTTTGCCTGAATTACAAAAAAAAAAACAGAATTTTAATGACACATTTTTGTTACAAAATGTCTTATTCGCATGCGAATGGGAAATGTTTCCAATCCTGTCCATTTTTAATACGCTTTTATTAGCTTCAGACGTATGTATGTAAGTATGTAACGGAATCTTTGAATATGATTTTGACCCCCTTCAAAACGTCGAATTAACTCGAAATTTGGTGTACTTATTAAGGACCGATGACAATTCAATATTTAAAAAAATCATTGAAAAAATTGAAATTCAACTAAAAAATGAAATATAAATAATAAAAATAAATAATTTTAATAAATTTGAATTAAAAATAGAGTAAAAAAAATGATTTTATTGTAAAAAAAACGCTTGGGTTGCTGTTCAGGATATTATCAAGGGGCGCTGTTCCAACAACTCGTATACAAATTCGAGTTAACTTTTACGCTATCGAGGACGTTAAAATATTCGCAGTGGTCTGCGACCTGGACGCAGGGCGACTACGAACTCTCCCTCCGGTTAACAACTGACAGCCACTAGACAACTCACTTATCATCCTCGCTTCCTTTGAGCAGCACCCAGGGCTGCTCGGACTGCATGTGCTGGTTGCCGAGCCTGGAGATGGACAGCACGTGCCTCAAGGCCTCACGCAGACGACCCTTCTCCATGTTCTGCACGTACGCTGTGGGGTAAACGCGTTTTTATTTAGCGCCTATGATGAGATGACACCCACGCTGGTTCTATACTGAGACCATAGAACTAGGGATGGAGATTCTTGACGAAAAAGATCGATTTTTAAATCGATTCGAATCGTAACGTAATATATCGATTCACAAAAAAAATCGAGATTCGAAAGATCGATTCTTTAAAAATCGATTTTTTTCAAGTTTGCTTTTACAATATAAATATAAACCCATTTTATAAAAAAAACAAGAAAAATACTATAGTAAATGTACTCTTATCAGGAAAATCACGGATAATGACAATTATAGAAAATTTATTGCGTAGATGGGTGGACGTGCTCACAGCCCACCTGGTGTTTAGAGGTTACTGGAGCCCATAGACATTTACAACGTAAATGCGCCATCCACCTTGAGATAAGATCTAAAGTCTCAAGTATAGTTACAACGGTTGCCCCACCCTTCAAACCGAAACGCATTACTGCTTCACGGCAGAAATAGGCAGGGCGGTGGTACCTACCCGTGTGGATTCACAAGACCTACCGCCAGTAATTACGCAAATTATAATTTTCAATTAAGACCGTTTTAACAACACAACCTGCTATCTCCCTGTTGACGAGCGCCATCAGCTCGTAGTCCGAACGTCGCGGGTTCGGTTCCGGGACGAGACCCTTGAACGCGTTCGAACAGAAGCTTAACGAACGGTGACAAAAGTTTCCCAGGTTGTTCAAAAGCTCCGAGTTGTTCCTGTACATAAATAATAAATATTGATTGTTAATAGCAAATTTTCTTAATAGCAGCACTCAGCGGGTTTTTTTTTAATTGTATTTTTTGACTTGTTCTTCCGTTATTGTAAATATTTTTAATTGTTAAAAAAAAAAAAAAAATTTTTGAGAACCAAAAAGAACAAAAAAAGCCCGCTGATTTTGTTTCGCCGGTTCTTCTCAGGACTGTGGCTTTTTTTGGAACCGGTGGTAGAGTTAACATTGTTATTTGTATTTTGACATTCAACAAGTGCTGTTATACTGACATCTAAGTTGAGATAAATGATTTTGATTTTTGAATTTAGTTCACGCACACGCATTCGGCACGCCAGTTTTTTTTTTCCTACCTAAGCTATATCAGCGTCGCCTTAACTAGTAGGTGAGCTAACGGGGCTCAAATCTGACGACGTTGCTAACACGAACCCTAGCAAGAGCCGTGCTTCGCAGAATCTACGACCGGATAGGAAACGCGACCCAATGAGAAGATCCGCCGAGAAACCCAGTGGGCTGTGTCTGTGGGTTATACGCCAGAATGATCACGTACAGCATTGGAGAGAAACAAATGGAAATCTTTAGAGGAAGCTTTTGCCGAAAGTTGTCTTTCGGCAAAAGCTGTTCAGAGGAGAGATAAGCCGAATGTCGAGAATATGTTTTAGCTTAAGTAATTTATAGTTTTTTTACCTCTATTGTTATCATTTTATGTTTAGTTAAATAAGTTATAATCTAGCAGCAATAATGGCTATCTAATTATTATCTATTTTATTATCTATTAGCTATTTATTTATTAAGCTATTGCATAATTTTTATCGCTGGTTTTGAGTGCGGCGACCGAATCAAGAAATTCCGTAACGAAAATAAAACCTAACACCCCTCACTCCGCCTACCATGTAGCTCGCGTTCAACACATTCACACGTTGCGTTTGTGTAGTATTTGTGAATAAGCGCGCGGCGTGACGTCGCACTGCATGCGCATCATGAAAAGTCTGCCCTTCCTTCAAAAAGTCCACTGAAAAAATCTCAGTAAATGACCACCATTTTACTGCGATTATATTTCATCCCATATCATCTCATTTCATTAAATTTCATCCCAGTTGATTAATGGCTCAAATTAATCATCTTCATTTCATTTCACTCCATAATATCATTTTTCATAAAAATAAGAATTTAAATTAAAGTAAGACATGACTTAAAGGTCTTAGTTACCAGGTCATAAAATGCCGTAAAAAAAAAGAAAGCAGTGTATTCAGTAGTAAGCAGATATCTAAAGATTGTACAAGTGGAGTTACAAATAAAGCAATACAGAATTAAGTGAATTACTGCAATCTGTGTATTATTTCCTGACTGTTGGAAGCGGAGTTCTACAAAACGATTCCAAGCCTTGAAACATTAGTCATTAAGGTCGTATTTCGATCGCTGTACCAAACGCAACAACGAATAACATATCGACGCTTGAAAGGCAAACGTGACTAAGCGACAATGCGTGAACTTTACATTAAGACTAATTTAATGTTGAAATACATGAAAATAAAATTATATTTTAACGAATCTAGCTGTAGGATTGAAATGATTTTAATAGACCTAGAAATATATATTTTTTGCGCATCGAATATGGTGTCTCTATCATTTATCTATGTATATAAAAATGCATTGCTGTTCGTTAGTCTCGCTAAATCTCGAGAACGGCTGGACCGATTTGGCTAATTTTGGTCTTGAATTATTTGTGGAAGTCCAGAGAAGGTTTAAGAGGTAGATAAATATGAAAATGCTCGGAATTAAATAAATAAAAACAATTTAGTTTTTCCTTTGACGTATCCCCTTGATGTGTCTTTTATTTATCGATTGAGGCACTACGAAGTCTGCCGGGTCAGCTAGTTTATGTATAAAGCAGTTATTGTCGCTTAGTCACGTTTGCCTTTCAAGCGTCGATATGGACGTGCTTTATTCACCTGGTGCCCAGTTCGGTCCAGCTGAAGCTGGAGTCCGAGGTCTCGGGTCGGATGCTGGCCAGGTAGAAGCGCCACACGTCCGACGGTATCCCGGTGTCCTGTAACGAGGAGGCTCCGTTCACGACAGGTGTAAGAACTCGTCGTGACCTAAAGGATAAGACGTCCGGTGCAATCGTGTGTAGCGATGCACCGGTGTTCGAATCCCGCAGGTGGGTACCAATTTTTCTAATGAAATACGTACTCAACAAATGTTCACGATTGACTTCCACGGTGAAGGAATATCATCGTGTAATAAAAATCAAACCCGCAAAATTATAGTTTGCGTAAAAACTGGTGGTAGAACTTCTTGTGAGTCCGTGCGGGTAGGTAACACCACCCTGCCTATTTCTGCCGTGAAGCAGTAATGCGTTTCGGTTTGAAGGGTGGGGCAGACGTTGTAACTATACTGAGACCTTAGGACTTATATCTCAAGATGGGTAGCGCATTTACGTTGTAGATGTCTATGGGCTCCAGTAACAATTTAACACCAGATGGGCTGTGAGCTCATCCACTCACCTATGCAATAAAAAATAAAAAAATAAGATATTGAACAGGAGTACTACAACTATGCGGCCTCAACTAGGAGCCCATGGGCAGCAGCCAGCTCACAGTGTCAACTCACTTGCGCGTCGTTGCCGAAAACACCGACGCCTCTCGACTTAGAAAACTTTCCTTCTTCGTAGTTCAAGTATTCTGAAAATATTATATTAAAACATTGAATAAAATTTTATTTTTATTTTTTATTTCTTTGTTTAATCTGTTCTTTGGGGAGGGGGGGCGTCCCGACCTCCTAACCCATGATTTGGGCCAGAACCAGACAGAGATAGACATAGGGTTACGTTACCCATCCATGCGAGCTCGCAAGTCGCTCTGCCACTACCATATTGTTACGCCGGTAAGAACAACGACATCTATCGCCGAATAGTCGAATGAATATCGAAGGATATACTAGCAACTAGAACGCTCGAGAAGTACAACGCCATCTATTGTCAAATAGCGGAAACACAATGTGTGGAATCGAAATGTGTGGAATATTCTCGATAATTCTAGGGATGTGGTATCGACTATAAAAGCGTTGCAAAGATGGCACGCAGTCAGTTAGTAATCGGAACTAATAGAAGAGAAACAGCAAACGGATCACCTAAAACGAAGCGGAAGAAGTGAATTGAGAAATTTAGTGTCTGTGAAGTGTTTTAAATGCTAATACAGTGTTTACTTGTAATTCGGTAGAATTTTTATTTATCCCGAACTCCAGCGCGTGATGCTGATGCGATATGCTGATCAGCAGTCGCAGTACGTCAGCGTGACACTTAGTGTTATTTTTAGGTTAATTTAGGTCAGGTTTATTGTAATGACATTTTAACAAAAAGGGTGTAGTTCTATATTCGATTACGCATATTGGAGTAAAAGCTAAGGGTCACGGGTCACGCACCGGTGGCGAACAGGTGCTTGACCAGCAGGTGGCCCTCGTTGACGCCCAGGACGGTCGCCGGGAACATGACCACGTGGAAAGGCACGTTGTCCTTCGCCATGAACTGATATAAACTGACCTGCGGAAAACATGTGAACAAGTTTATTAGTAGTTTAAGTCTTGTGCAACCGTTGAGCTTAATTTAATGTCGGACTTTTTGGCGGGAACGCGAGGAGTGAAGTTGTGTGATTTGTTTTATTTTGTCTATTTAGTGATTCTTCAAGTTTAAATGTGTAATAATGGTGGTTTATTAACTGTTCAATATCTGTGAAAGTGCACAAATGTAGGCAAAATAAAATAAAGATCTTCCAAAGAGCCCACTGAAAAAGTCTCAGTAAATAACCACCATTTTACTGAGATTATATTTCATCCCATATCATCTTATCTCATTTCATGTGATTTCGTGCCATTTCACTTGATACTATCATTTCTCATAAAAATAAGAATATAAATTAAAATAAGACTTGACCTAAAGGTCTTAGTTACCAGGTCATAAAATCCCTAAAATAAATTAATTTAATGTTTGTTAAGGCTCGGGCGTGTTTTTATTTAATACTTAGTAGGGTGGACGAGCTCGCGGCCCACCTAAAGCTAAGTGGTTACCGAAGCCCATGGACATCTACAACGTAAATGCCGCCACCCACCTTGAGATCTTAGTTCTAAGGTCTCCGATTTTACAGTACATCGTCTGCCCCAACCTTCGAACCGATATACATTACTATTTCACGGCAGAAATAGGGGGCGTGTGATGGCGGCAGTTCATTAACCGTCCAGAGACTGCGATGAGACACGAGCTGGGCAAATCGAACTAAGCCACCGGACGTGGCTTCTCGGGAGCTTCCAGTAATCCACAAAAGCTTCCATGAATATCCACCATTTCATTCAGACCGGAGATTTCATCTCTTTTCGTTTCATTCATTTCGTTACAATTTCTAGTAACTCAACAAGAGTAGTTAAAATAAATACAATTCAATTGCAACTTCGTCCTCACGTGTTGAGGTTCATGACCCCCCCCTGAGCAGTGGGGGCACCGGGGTGCTCCGACCCCACTGCGTGGGTGTTCAGACCACTACTGAAGTACTCACATCATATTCCTTGTCGGGTTTCCACCAGGCCTCGTATTGCTTCGTGGCGCACTGGGTGATGCTCATGTAGCCGATGGGAGCATCGAACCACACGTAGAAGACCTGCGGGGAAGCATAACGTATTCTTAATCGATCTGTAGGGGTCGGATTGCACCTATCCTCCACTAGCGGGAGGGGGAGCGCTTTGCGGCAAAAATAGGAGGGACGGGTCCGTCTTCGCTTTAATCAGGTCTTGTCTTATTTAATTGTAATTAAATTTAATTACATTTTAATTAAATTAGTAAAAATCGTAAACATTTTCGGTCTGTTCTTGTGTCTCTGCTTGGTGAGGTTGTGAGGAGATAATGGTCGATCCGGTGAGAGATACAACATATGAAGCGAACAATGTGCAGCCGCATCTAATAAATCAATATTTTATATGGGCATTTCTTAATGGAGACACTTGAAAAATTTGGCGTGGCTCACACATTTATCTATATTAGCGGTCCTGTTTTTTTATTGCCCTTGTAGGCAGACGAGCATACGGCCCACCTGATGGTGAGTGGTTACTGTCGCCCATGGACGTCAGCAATGCCAGGGGCGGAGCCAAGCCGCTGTCTACCATTAAGTACTCTCCACAAACCTCGTTTAGAAGGACATGTCACAGCGCTCGCAAAACACCGTGGAGGGGAGCTCATTCTAAAGCCGGATAGTACGTGGCAGAAAAGATCTTTGGAAACGCACTGTGGATGATCGCAGTGGCTCCAGATAGTATGGATGAATGCTGCTTCGATTATAATTATGGGAGGTGCGATGATAAAAATATAATGAGGGGATCAGATTGTTTGAGACGACCCCTTTATCTTTTGGCGGGGGGTTGGGAGGGGGAGGTCGCACCTTGTGTCGGTACCCGTCGAGCGGCACGGGCACCCCCCAGCGCAGGTCGCGGGTGAGGGCGCGCGCCCGCAGCGGCTCCCGCAGCCAGGCGCGGCCCACGGCGCGCGCGGGCCCTGACCACAGGTGCTCCCACCGCGACATCCAGCTGCGCAGCGACGGCTCCAACTGGACACCACACGGACTGAGCACACACTGGCCTACCACACAGTTCTGAATCTATGTAATTGGATCTTTTTTTATTACTTACTTTAAGAGGAGTTGAAATAGCCTCTCAAGGCTATCAACATAGATTGAAAAATAAAAATACATGTGTGCAATTCACACGTGGTAGAAGTGAAACCTTCCAAAATTAAAATACAATTATCCTAAACGTCTTAAGTATATGTAAAATTTTGTCATTAGTAAATAATTGTAAGGTAGCGCCCTCTGTGAATTGATATTTTAATTTCACGTATAATCCTAAATTAAAATTCACTACAAGAGCTTTCATACACACGTTAGTATTAAAAAATCTCACAGATGGCGCTGTATTAAATAGTATGTATATTTCTGTCTCATTCTTTGCTGGCTTCATCCTACACATTTTTGTATTTGTGTTTCTTACCTGTCGTTTTTTCCGTTGCATCCGGTTTGAAATCACAACGATTCTAAAGAAGTTTTCACTTCAAAAAGGTAGGGTAGAAACAGGAAATAGATTACTGGTCGCATAGAACACCAGGCACATGGTCAGATCTAGTAAGAGAAGCATTTTGTGAAGAGAAGAACGTCACATGGCCGCGATCCTCAGTAGCGTGGTATAGAAGAAGAAACAGGCAGCAGTAAGTGCTGGATATGAAATGTTTTTATATAGAACTAGCTGACCCGGCAAACGTTGTGTTGCCTTAAATAAGATTTCTAGGGAAATTCTACTGTAGAAAAAAAAACCTCATTTAACCACATAATACCTCATTATAAACATAAACAAAAAAATCAAATAAAAAATAAATGTTTGGGGTGGACAACCCTTTTCACTTAGGGTTATGAAAAATAGATAGTAGCCGATTCTCAGACCTACTGAACATACTATTGATACACAAATAAAACCAAAAAAACATGGCTGAAAATTTTATAGTATTGTATAGCTCTCAAATATAATAAGTGTATAATCTATGATGTATAGTGAGTGAGTAAGACAGGAGACCGGCTTCGTCCTCATCCCTACTACGTGATGTTTGCTGGATGAGTGGTGACACTTGGCGTGGATAGCTGATCGATTGATAGTTGATCGGCGAGGGCGGGAGATCAAATTCAATTTAAAAAAAATCATAATTAAAGGAACTTGAAATTATAAACTCTGAATAAGAATTTATCGTACTACAATTATAATATTTGATTGCCATCTTGCAACCTTATTGCGGATCTGTGCATAGAATAAAAAAAATATTAATCGGGATGGAAAAATAGGGGTTGATCGTATAAGAGTGAAAATTGAGAGTAATATGATTTTTTTTATTTTAAGTCATGACAAAACAAAATAAAAAACTTGCCAAAAAAATTAAAGTTTATAATTAACAAATAAAAAATAGGGGTTGATCATAGAGGGATGAAAAATTGAGAGTAACATCAGATTTTTTATTTTAATTCATGACAAAATAAAAATAAAAATGAAAATCTTGCCAAAAAAATTTAATTTTATAATTAACAAATAAAAAATAGGGGTTGATCGTAGAGGGGTGAAAATTTCAGAGTAATATGAATTTTTTTATTCTACGTCATGACAAAATAAAAACAAAATTCTCGCAAAAAATTTTAAAGTTTTTAATTAGCAAATAAAAAATAAGGGTTGATCGTAGAAGGGTGAAAATTTCAGAGTAATATGAATTTTTTTATTCTACGTCGTGACAAAATAAAAACAAAATTCTCGCAAAAAAATTTAAAGTTTTTAATTAGCAAATAGAAAATAAGGGTTGATCGTAGAAGGGTGAAAATTTAGGGTTGTATTTTTGTATGCTGTATCATAAAAAAATAGAAATTAAAAATTTTGTCTAAAAATTAAAAAAAAAAATTAGGGTTGGACTACCCCTAACATTTAGGGGGATGAAAAATAGATGTTGGCCGATTCTCATAATTACCGGATAAGCACAAAAAATTTCATCAAAATCGGTCAAGCCGTTTCGGAGGAGTATGGCAACGAAAACTGTGACACGAGAATTTTATATATTAGATAATAAATAATGAGATTGATTCTAGCTATCTCCTTTCCAAAATTTCATTTAAATGTAGTCTTATTTCCGCGCGTTCTAAACAGACCTTCCACATGTCCACGGCTCGAACGAAATATGCTTCTAACTCTTTTGTCCGTAGATCTTGTAGGTTGTATGATGCTAAGTTCTCTAATGCTGACATCTTTTGCTTGTCACTTGTAGCATATAGAAAAGCTATTTTAAAATATTTATAAGGTGATTTAGTCCGATGATTATTATAGTCTTATAGTTTAAGTTGATGTACAAAATAATATGTGCGTATTGTGTTGCTTTTGTTTTTTTTTTTTTTGTAATTTTCATTTCTAAATTTCTCTTCTCTGTTCACTTTCTACTTATATGTGAATTTGATTGTGGAAACATATTTGGTTATTATTTTAGCTATATTATTTTTAAATATTATATGTTTGTATTGTACTGTTTGTTTCCTAAATAAATAAATAAATAAATGAATGAATGAATGTATGAATAAATTAATGAATGTATGAATAAATTAATGAATGTATGAATTAATGAATGAATGAATGAACAAATCAATGAACGAATGTATGATTGAATGAATGTATGAATTAATGAATGAATGTATGAATTAATGAATGAATGTATGAATTAATGAATGAATGTATGAATTAATGAATGAATGTATGAATTAATGAATGAAAGAATGAATGAATGTGTAGTGCGACAGTGGGCCCCTACCTGGCCGAGTTCGATGAAGAGTTGCTCGCTGGGCTTGAGGACGGGGGGGTGGGCGCAGACCTTACACCTCGGCTGGAGCAGCTCGGGCGCGTTGACCAGCCTCCCGCACTTGTCGCACTGGTCGCCGCGCGCGCCCTCGTACCCGCAGCCGGGGTGGGGGCACGTCCCCTCCACGAACCTGGGGGAGGGGGCGGCGGTCACACGTAGCTAGCATACTACCTGAAGCCACTGCGTTCATCGACAGCGCGCTTCCAGATACCTTTTTTGCCGCCGCTACTAAAGGGCGCCAGAACGTTGTTTAGATAATACATATATCGTTGAAGTGCTACAAAAATAATGTAATTCATGTATAAAAATACTGTTACGCCGGTAAGAGTAACGCCATCTATCGCCGAATAGTCGAACGAATATCGAAGGATCTAGTAGCGCCCAGAACGCTCGAGAAGTACAACGCCATCTATTGACAGATAGCGGAAACGACTACTAGAGATGTGTGGAATATTCTCGATAATTCTAGGGATGTCGTATCGACTATAAAACGTTGCAGAGATGGCACGCAGTCAGTCAGTAATCGGAACTACTCGAAGCGAAACGGCGAACGGATCACCTGAAGCGAAGCGGAACAAGCGAATTGTTTTTTTTTTTATTGCCCTTGTAGGCAGACGAGCATACGGCCCACCTGATGGTGAGTGGTTACCGTCGCCCATGGACTCCAGCAATGCCAGGGGCAGAGCCAAGCCGCTGCCTACCGCTTAATACTCTCCACAAGCCTCGTTTGAAGAAGGACATGTCATAGCGCTCGGGAAACACCGTGGAGGGGAGCTCATTCCATAGCCGGATGGTACGTGGCAGAGTTAAAGTGTTTCTTGAGTGTTTTAAGTGTTCAATACAGTTTTAAGTTGTACTTTGGTGAAATTTTATTTATCCCGAACCCTCAGCGCGTAACAATATTACAACGTAGTCTGAACGCGGCTCTATAGTATAAGTGTTCTTCTGGTCTATGGGCGGTAGACTGTATCATGACCTGCCTTCCTTCGAAGCGTCTCTGGAAGTACACACCAACCTGTCAGCCAGGAACCTGTCGCACTTCTCGCAGAACAGCTGGTCGACGGTCTGCGAGCTGACGAAGCCGTTCTCGTTCAGCTTCAGAAACAGCCTCTGGGTGATCCTGTGAGGACACACTAAAACGATTTAGATTCAATATTATAATAATCTCTATATTGCTGTTCGTTAGTCTCGCTAAAACTCGAGAACGGCTGGACCGATTTGGCTAATTTTGGTCTTGAATTATTTGTGGGGAAGTCCAGAGAAGGTTTGAAATGTTATATAAATATGAAAATGCTCGGAATTAAATAAAAATAACAATTTTGTTTTTTCCTTTCACGTGTACCCCGTCGGACGGATTCCTTTTGTTAAATTTAGGTATTTTATTTATCGATTAAGGCACTACGAAGTATGCCGGGTCAGCTAGTAGTGAATAATTTATTGCCTTTTACACAGACTTAGATTATTACAGGTAATCGAAAGCTGCAGCTAATGTTATGCATGCATCGAACTAATGTCTGCAGATGGGCCCCAACGGGGTGCGGTCATAGGAGTCCATGGACAACACAAGGTCCGCCCCGCTCGAAGACATAAGCCCAAAACCACAGTAATGTTTTTTTTAAATAAAGGTATAAAGTTTTTACCATCACACCACTGGAGCCACGGCGTTCATCCACAGTGCGTTTCTACAGATCTTTTCTACCACGTACCATCCGGCTTTGGAATGAGCTCCCCTCCACGGTGGTTCCCGAGCGCTATGACATGTCCTTCTTCAAACGGGGCTTGTGGAGAGTATTAAGCAGTAGGCAGCGGTTTGGCTCTGCCCTTGGCATTGCTGGACAGTAACCACTCACCATCAGGTGGACCGCATGCTTATCTGGCTACAGGGGCAATAAAAAACCGTCTTTGAGGTCCAGCCTGGTAGATCGTGAGCTCTTCCGCACGTCTGGAGTTGAAAAAAAAACCCTTACTCAGCCTGTTCCTCTGTGGAGGTTCTCCCGAAATAATCGAATCCAATGTTGAACCAGCGGTAGACATTATTGTGTATCTCGAAATATTTATCGCAGATCTGTTTGGGCGTCACGCCTTCCTCTAGCGCCTGGAATGGTTTACATTTAGTTTATTAACTAGCTGTACCAGTCCGCTTCGCTAGGCAATTAAAATTAACATTATTATATCTCACCCCCACAATGATTCTCATCATTAACGCCCCCGCAACTGGTGCAGGGAGTCCAACACTCATATAAATATCAGCCTATCCATTAAGTACATGTATTTTCTACATGGATACCAAGTTTCAAGTCAATCGGATGCACGGTTCAGTAGTTATAATGGAACATAAGTAAAAACCACTGTAGATTTATATATTAGTATAGATAGAGTGAGAGGGGAGGGGATATTTCCAGTGTGCTTAGTGCGAGGTTTTTAACGTTTTCGATAACGTAAAAGTTAACATAAACACGTATGCAGCGGGAACAGCGCCCCTAGCGGCAAACGTAGGCAAACATTCCAACTCCATACAAATATGAGTTAACTTTTACGCTATCGAGAACGTTAAAAAATTCGCACCGAGCACACAGCACAAGGCAAGATCAGTTAAGGACAACGCCCTGCATCCTTGCGTCCTAAATTTCCGGTTGCTGATATGCAACCGTTATACAGTTAAGAGTTCGATCTCATATCACCAGTATCCTCATATGCGAAGGATACTGGTGGTAGGACCTCTTGCGAGTCCGCGCGGGTAACCACTTAACACCAGGTGGGCTGTGAGATCGTTCACCCATCTAAGCAATAATAAAAAAAATTAAATTTGTTTTCTATTTTTTATAAAAGCGTATTTTGTTAGTTTTTTATGCTTTTTTTTTTCTTTTTTTCTTTTTATTGCTTAGATGGATGAACGAGCTCACAGCCCACCTGGTGTTAAGTGGTTACTGGAGCCCATAGACATCTACAACGTAAATGCACCACCCACCTCGAGCTGTAAGTTTTAAGGTCTCAGTATAGTTACAACGGCTGCCCCACCCTTCGAACCGAAACGCATTACTGCTTCACGGCGGAAATAGGCAGGGCGGTGGTACCTACCCGTGCGGACTCACAAGAGGTCCTACCACCAGTGCTATTATTTGCTATTATTTATTTCTAATTTTTTACTTGAATTTCAATTTTTTCAATATTTTTTTTTGTAATATTGAATTGTCATTTGTCCTTAATAAGTACACCAAATTTCGAGTTAATCCGACGTTTTGAAGGGGGTCAAAATCATGTTCAAAGATTCCGTTACAAACATACATTACATACGTCTGAAGCTAATATATAAAAGCGTATTAATAGTACACAATATCTTACTTTAGTCTCCGTAGCGGTTCCGTATTCATCTGTGCCGCATATATACAGCGTGTTGTAATCACATAACCGACAATATCTGAAATTAAACGTTTTTATTATGATATAATTTTTGTTCCGCAAATTCATGTCCATTTGGTCTGGGTCTGCGGAGGGACTTCGGTTCCCTCTGTATTTTGTACCGTATGTTCCATGGGGAGTGCTCTGAGGAATTGTTCGAGATGATACCGGCATCTCGTTTTTACCATCGCACCGCCCGCCACCGGAGTAGAGTTCATCCATACTACCTGGAGCCACTGCGGTCATCCACAGTGCGTTTCCAGAGATCTTTTTTGCCACGTACCATCCGGCTATGGANAAAAATTTTATTCAACATAAATGAAAGTACATACTTGTTGAACGTCAAAAAAACTACCGCCAATTCACAAGAACTAGCCTCCGTCCTGAGAAGAATTGGCAAGAAACTCAGCGGGCATGTCTTTTTTTTTTACATATGAAATTATTATTTATTTATTTTTTAATATTAGATTTTTTTTTTAAATATGAATTTTTTACAATGAGTAATATAACGTAACAATTACTACAATATTGAAATGCCTGGAGCGTGCAACTCATTCCCACAATATATTATATATTAGTGGATGCTTACAGCCATTCTCAAAGTTTATATACAAGGTGTTGTTTTTGTTTCTACGAAATGTGGAGGTAGTTTGATCAAATTTAATTACAATAATACATGGACTTTTTGGCGGGGACGCGAGGAGTGAATTGTGTTGTGTGATTTGTTTTATTTTATCTATTTAGTGTTTCTTCAGGTTTAAATGTGTAATAACGGTGGATTATTAGCTATTTAATATCTGTAAAATTGAAAAAATGTGGGAAAATGAAACAAAGTCGCTGGACGAAACTTCTCTGGGTCCAAAAAGTCCACTGAAAAATTTTCAGTAAATGACCACCAGTTTCAGTACTGAGATTATATTTCATTCCATATCATCTCATCTCATTTTATTTCATTTCATCCCAGTTGACTAATGTCTCAAATTAATCATCTTCATTTAATTTTCATTTCACTCTATTTTATCATTTTTCATAAAAATAAGAATTTAGATTAAAGTAAGACATGACTTAAAGGTCTTAGTTACCAGGTCATAAAATCCATTAAAAAAAAAACAATAATACGTTACGATCATCTGTATTGAGTAATTCTGTTTAGTGACAATTATAAAGATTCTGTAATGAAGATTATAGTGACGTCACGAATTCCAGAGGCCTGATTGTTTTGGCGGGATATTTGAATTTTGATTTTTTTTTAATTAAATTTCAACTACCCCCAAAATCTAGAGCAATATTTTAATGCGTATCCATCACCTACTTTGAAACTCAAAGTCTAAGGGCGAATTAGAACTCTTGTCTGAAGGTGGGAGGTGGCATTTACTGATGATGTCCATACATTGACGTATTGGAAGCTCATCCATCCATCGTAGCACTAAACAATAAGCGCTAATATCTATACAGATGATACAAATGATATGTCACCTTGCAAATATGTCCGCGGATAGAACGCATCCGATGATATTGCCGAGGTGGGGAACGTTGTTGACATAGGGCAACGCCGAGGTGATCAGTACGTTCTTACGACCCTTCACTGGCAACCTGAAACATTAATTATTTATTTATTTATAACCTTATATACTAGCCTGTATAAGGGCTAGTATGATCTAATGCCATTAAATTAATAGTAAGACTATGATCTAATGCCATTAAATTAGCATTAGATCATCTCACAGAATTGTATTAGCTAGCTCTAGTAGAAATAGGAGATGCGGTAACTCACTTGTGGGCCCACTCAGGTAGGTACTGGTAGGTAGGTTTACTGGTGGTAGGACCTCTTGTGAGTCCGCACGGGTAGGTACCACCGCCCCGCCTATTTCTGCCGTGAAGCAGTAATGCGTTTCGGTTTGAAGAGTGGGGCAGCCGTTGTGACTATACTGAGACCTTAGAACTTATATCTCAAGGTGTGTGGCGCATTTACGTTGTAGATGTCTATGGGCTCCAGTAACCACAAAACACCAGGTGGGCTGTAAGAAAAAAAAGAAAAAAAACACCGCCTATTTTTGCCGCGCGGCGTTGTGTTTGCTTTACAACTGAGATTCTAGAACTCATATTGATGTCTATGGGCTCCGGTGCCCATTTAACACCAGGAAGACTGTCAGCCAAGACAATCCAAGTGCACTTCTCAGATTTCCTTCAGATCTGACCTACTTCTATCCTAGAGCGGGTTACTATATATGTATATAACTTTTTTTATTATTATTTTTGTATTACTTAGATAGGTGGACGAGCTCACAGCCCACCTGGTGTTAAGTGGTTACTGGAGCCCATAGACATCTACGACGTAAATGCGCCACCCACCTTGAGATATGAGTTCTAAGGTCTCAGTATAGTTACAACGGCTGCCCCACCGTAATAATATTGCTTAAATATTGGTCGGTAGACCGTTCGGTGGAAGATCTTTCCTTTAGTCGTTACACTTACACAATCTTCTCTTGTTTCAACGGAGGCTGCAGCTTGCTCAGACCATTGAGCCATCCCTCTTTTGCCGCTTCGATCTCTTCAGGAGTCGGACCTTCTTGGACCTCGGCCTCGTCATCCGGCGACCTGCGGCCATATTTCAATTTAGTACAGACTAGCTGACCCGGCCGATTTCGTAACGCCTCAATCATAAAAGACCTAAACTCTTGTATAAAATAAACTTAAAACAAACTAAAGGAATCCGTCCGACGGGGGACACATCAAAGGAAAAACAAAATTGTTATTTTTATTTAATTCCGAGCGTTTTCATATTTATCTACCTTTTAAGCCTTCTCTGGACTTCCACAAATAATTCAAGACCAAAATTAGCCAAATCGGTCCAGCCCTTCTCGAGTTTTAGCGAGACTAACGAACAGCAATTCGTTTTTATATATATAGATAGATAGATTATTTACTGGCAAAACTTGTGTGCATGATATTTGTTTAAGGCTATCCCGCACACCGCCTTCTCACAATCGCGACCGGCATCACTACGGTCATTCAAGTGTCCAGAGGTCAGTGTTACTCATGCACCGATCGTTTGGAACCTCTGGGTCTGCGGAGGGACTTCGGTTCCCTCTGTATTTTGTACCGTATGTTCCATGGAGAGTGCTCTGAGGAATTGTTTGAGATGATCTCATCTCCTTTTTATCGTCGCATCTCCCGCCATCGGAGCAGAGTTCATCCATACTACCTGGAGTCACTGCGGTCATCCACAGTGCGTTTCCAGAGGTCTTTTTTTGTCACGTACCATCCGGCTATGGAATGAGCTCCCCTCCACGGTGTTTCCCGAGCGCTATGACTTGTCCTTCTTCAAACGAGGCTTGTGGAGAGTATTAAGAGGTAGGCAGCGGCTTGGCTCTGCCCTTGTCATTGCTGATGCCCGTAAGCTCGTCTGCATATTCGGCATAAAAAAAACCTCTCCAATTATACCACCATTATGATGATAGTAGACGGTCAACGCTCTCACGGCCGATCACCCACAAGGTGGACAGACTTGGTTAAGTCATCTACGAAGTATTCCCTTATTGAATGTACACGTACCGCCACAAATAGAGAGAGATGGAGAAGTCTTTTTTACTGGTGGTAGGACCTCTTGTGAGTCCGCACGGCTAGGTACCACCGCCCTGCCTATTTCTGCCGTGAAGCAGTAATGCGTTTCGGTTTGAAGGGCGGGGCTGCCGTTGTAACTATACTTGAGACCTTAGAACTTATATCTCAAGGTGGGTGGCGCATTTCCGTGATGTCTATGGGCTCCAGGAACCACTTAACACCAGGTGGGCTGTGAGCTCGTCCACCCATGTAAGCAATAAAAAAAAAAGTCTCTCAAAAGCCGCAACCAAGCAATAAGACATACGTGACCACGACCACTCCGCCAGGAGTGTACGGCTGAGAAGAAGAAATGATGATAGCTCACCCTGCAGGGGAGACAAGGTTGGCGACCTGAGGTAAGCCCAGGGCAGATATCTGCCCGAATGGTCCAGTCGGCGAACCGCCCCATTGTCTCACAGCTTCCTGGAAGCATGACCAGAATATTAACATAGACTAGTGGTTACCCTCAGACACAGCGCACTGAGTTTCTTGCCGGATCTTCTCAGTGGGCCGCGTTTCCGATCCGATGGTAGATTCTGCGAAGCACGACTCTTGCTAGGGTTCGTGTTAGCATCGTCGTCAGGTTTGGGCCCCGTGAGCTCACCTACTAGCTAAGGTTACGCTGAAATAGCCTCTCAAGGCTATCAGATTAGGTAGGAAAAAAAAACTCACTTGAACAGATTTCGCACCTCCAATAGCGTCAGACCAACGCCTTATATTACCGAGCTCCTTCAGATACTGTTCTCGGAGATCATCATTGTGAGTAAGAGGATATAACGTGCTCCATATTGAGATGTCGGCCGCTGAGATTTTGTCCTGCAAAGATTGGTCATTACTAACATTCTATGGGAGATCATCATCCGGTTTTTACTGGTGGTAGGAACTCTTGTGAGTCCGCACGGGTAGGTACCACCGCCCTGCCCATTCCTGCCGTGAAGCAGTAGTGCGATTCGGTTTGAAGGGCGGGGCAGCCGTTGTAACTATACTGAGACCTTAGAAGGTCATCTCACAGTGGGTGGCGCATTTACGTTGTAGATGTCTACGGGCTCCAGTAACCACTTAACACCAGGCGGGCTGTGAGCTCGTCCACCCATCAAAACAATAAACAAAAACATGTAAATTGAAGTACTGGACCACATGGTAATACCAAATCTCCACACACCCCGAGAACGTATTGGTGGCCTTCCAACAATCCGTTAACGTGTTCAAGCGACGACTTTAAGACTTGCTTTACGTCAGAAGCTGGGGATTTCCCGAGCGCGGCACTTAGGGACGGCTGAAGGCGAGTAGCCTCCCATTCTTGAAGCTGCTGGCTGGAAGTCAAATTGAGCATCGCTATGAGGTTATCGTCTTCAAATTTCAGCATAAATTGAATACCGTCACGGGCATCAGCAGGGGACGCGGCGTAAAATATATATAGTTGGACAAATGGTGGTAAACTATGGTGGATGGGAGGACGTTTGTGAATCCGCACGGGTAGGTACCACCGCCCCGCCTATTTCTGCCGTGAAGCAGTAATGCGTTTCGGTTTGAAGAGTGGGGCAGCCGTTGTAACTATACTGAGACCTTAGAACTCTTATCTCAAGACCTAAGTATGTTTGTGGATGTTTCTGTAAAAATTTCCACCGTTCGTATCCTATTCAAATAGAAGATGAGTCAGCAAAATTAAAATAAATAAAAGTTTCTCAAAGAAAAAATCACGTAATACTGATTTTCAGTTCATTTTCCGCTAATTCAGATTTCTATTGAACACATTTCTGAAGTCTGAGTCGAATCCTACCGCAACCCCCCATAATCACACGGTGGTATATTTCTCAGGTGTCCTAGGCCTTAAATCCCAGGGTTTCAGATTATGCCTTCAATGTTTCCAATATCATCATCGAATCCCGCAGGCGGGTACCAATTTTCCAAATGAAATACGTACTCAACAAATGTTCACGATTGATTTCCACGGTGAAGGAATAACATCGTGTAATAAAAATGAAACCCGCAAAATTATAATTTGCGTAATTACTGGTGGTAGGACCTCTTGTGAGTCCGCACGGGTAGGTACCACCACCCTGCCTATTTCTGCCGTGAAGCAGTAATGCGTTTCGGTTTGAAGGGTGGGGCAGCCGTTGTAACTATAATTGAGACCTTAGAACTTATATCTCAAGGTGTGTGGCGCATTTACATTGTAGATGTCTATGGGTTCCAGTAACCACTTGACACCAGGTGGGCTGTGAGCTTGTCCACTCATCTAAGCTATAAAAAAATATATATATATTGAATCGACTATCGGGTACTTACAAATTAGGACTTTTTAATTTTACGATGGGCACCAGATGTGCACTTTTGATGATCATGAAGAATTTTACGTCGTGTTTAAAATAGTTTCGAGGGTATTTTGAGTTTTTTGAACCCGCAAAGGTAGGATCCACCAACCTTTCCATTTTAACGGAGCTGTAAGTTCACGCTTTGAAAGGCGAAGCAGCCGTTGTACTATAGAACCGAGATTTAAAACTCAAGCCTGACTCGTATAAGCAAAATAAAAATAAATAATCGTTTAAAACGCTTTTATAGAAAATCCAATAAAAAAATAGACAATAAATTTTAATAAATTAGAATTAAAAATAGTGTAAGAAAAAACGTGGGGTGCTTTTCAGGATATTATCAAAATAACCCTTCTACTCATATTTGTTCATAAAATATTTATAACTACTGGTATAGACCAGGCACCCCCATGGTTTTTTTACAATAAAATCATTTTTTTCTTACACTATTTTTAATACAAATTTATTAGTTTTTTTTTCTATTTTTTTGTTGGATTTTCTATAAAAGCGTTTTTTTTTTTAAACTATTTTTTTTTTATTATTAATTGAATTCTCATCTGGCCTTACTAAGAATACCAAATTTCGAGTTAATCCGACGTTTTGAAGGGGTCAAAATCATGTTCAATGATTCCGTTACAAACATACATACGTCTGAAGCTAAAATAAAAGCGTATCAAAAAACTTGCCATTGTCCATTCTCGGACATGTCCAGGATCGGGAACAGATACTGGACCGCCGCATTGCTGGAAAAGAACCTTAGTTCTGGATCGACCTCGAGGAGCGGCAGCTGACGGGGCCCTGCGAATACATCGTCTGCAATCACAGACGTGTAATGTTACCGTCCACCAGGAGAAAGCATAGAGATAGACTGAAGCCATAACTTGAAAGTTACAATAGCATATGCGTATTAAATGATGTGGCAGATACGTAAAGTTGTACGTAGCGTACACACTGACTTTCTATCACAATTCATTTAACACTAAACATACCATAACGGGTCAAATGATCCTTTTTGAACATCTGCATTCAAAATGCACTTATTCTCTTATTGCTTTGCAAATTTGAATTTATAACTCTGTCTTACCAATTAATCTACAGTTATTGCTCTATGTTTTTAAGCTATTGCATAGCTTTTGTCGCGGACTTTGAGCGCGGCGACCGAATCAAGAAATTCCGTAACGAAAATAAAACCTAACACCATCATGAAAAGTCTGCCCATCTCTCTCTCTCGGTCTAGCTCATGAGTGTGAAGGGACAGTTAATGTTTATAAATATAGCGTCGTCTTATTTTATTATTATTTTAATATTAAATTATGATTGTCTAATTATGATTGCATAAGTTGATAGCAAATGCTATGCAATAGCTTTACTGCGGCAGTCCCCGAGTGCCACACGTTTTTTTTTGTTTATTTTTTTGCGAAATACTTGTCATATACCGCTTTCTACCCGGTATGGTAAAAATAGGTACCAGTAGGTGTTGGTATGACTAGTGTTAAGAAAGATAAGGCAGCTCGTACACCACATTATGAATGCGTATGAATACACTGGCTCTCCCAGCTTTCAAACGGGTATTCACTGCTGCATCATGAGAAAAATATTTAAAATCAGACAGTAAATGCTTTGATCACGAGTAATATGATATGTCATTCTTCAAACGAGGTTGGCTAAGCGTACTCAGCAGTAGGTAGCAATTTGGCTGTGCCCTTGGCATTACTCGTGGGCATGAGCAACAGTAACCACTCACCCTCAATTGGGCCATATTTTAGTATATCTACAAAAGCAATAAAAAAACACCGTTAAGTCATGAGAAAATTTTTTACTGAATCCCATGTTGCATAAAAATAATAATTGTAAAAACAAAACAGACAAATCCTGTTCTGTTTTTGTTACTATAAGGTGACAACCTCTCATGCATCTGACTTTTATATCCAGAGTATCCAGATTTGGGTTCAGAAGGAATTCATAACATATTGATACTAAATTGTTTGTAGTAATATATGTAGTTATAAGAAGTAGGCAGGTATTATAAGAAGTTATAAGAATATACATAGTTATAAGAAGCCGAGGAGTGCGCGTTTGGGATGGTATGGACATGTGATGAGACGAAATGAAAATGAGGTTGTTAAGAGAGTGTTAACTATGAATGTGGAAGGATTTAGAGGAAGAGGTAGACCTAAGAAGAAATGGATGGGTTGTGTGAAAGATGATATGGGTAGGAGGGGAGTGAGCGAAGAAATGGTATGTGATAGAAGAGTATGGAAGGAGCAAACATGTTGCGCCGACCCCAGGTGACTGGGAGAAGGGCAGGATAATGATGATGAATGATGATAAGAAGTAGGCAGGTTGGATGTACTAAATTAGAATGACAGACATTCCTGTAAAGAAAAGATTTCATGAATCACATCAAAAGTGATAAGAGTTTCAGAGCTACCACTTCTGGGTTAGATTGTCTGTAATTTCACCTTGCCCTACAGCCTTGTGTCCCAGATATTTGAGGAGTGGATCCTGCTTGATGGTCGATGATCCCTTTTGGGTCACCTGATCAGTGTTACCGCAGTGTTTGACAGTACAGGTTGGCAGCAAATGGGGATGGAGATTATGATTCTTCGCATCTTACCCATGAGGGTGACGCTGCTTGTCCTGTAGTGACGCTAACAAATTCTGTAGGCTGACTTAAAAAGTCATGTTTCATTTAGGAATGTCCAGCACAATATTTTTCCTGAGAAGTGCAAGATATTGCACCCTTTGAGATTTGGGCCTCTTGTAATAACTTCCTTCTTAATAACTTCTTTAGTACAAAATAAATAAAATTAAATTAAATAACTTCTTTTCTAACTGTATAATTCACTGCAAGATTGAATCAGGAATGAAGAAATTAGCAGGAGATCTGGGTAACTGTGTTATAACTTGAAGGAGAGAAGTTGTGGTTGGCAAAGCACATTGCTGAGAGGAGAGATGTTGCTGAGGTCAAGGGGCCAAAATAAATAAAAACAAGAAGACAGGAGTCAGTTACACTTAAATGAACCCTTCAAGGAACTCCTCGAGTATAACCACCTACTAATATTCCACCTATCAATAGTAGTATCGCCTAGTATGGTGTCCTTTGCTTTAGATGCGGCTAATGATAAAGCTAGTATATCAACCTGGACTCGGTCCGAACCTCGTTTGAAGAAGTCCTTAGAGAACATTACGATATTATTGAGTCTGTTTATTAATATAAATAGTATAAGCTGACACAAAATGAAGCATATTTTTAATTAACACATTTTACTAACCAGTTTCTCAATTCAAATTATAAATTAAGTGTTCGATATTTTATAATCGTACAAGAAAGTTATAATAACATATTTTATATTTCTAGTTTAGTAGAATTCATATATATATTTTTAATAATATTCATGCATTTATTTTTTAATGAGAAAATCATCTACCTACCTTCAAACTCGGCTTCCACAATTTCTACTTTCTTTGCTGCTAAATTAGCCGCTATTAACAGTTTTAGCGTGCCAGTATTGTTTTTGTTTGTGTATATCTTCATTTTAATTATTTCTAACACAAAAACCAATTTTTTTAAACTTTGCAATAATTGTACATAACCCCTAAATTAAATAGTTGGCATATTTCACTACGTTCCAGATCAGCTTGCAAAATAGTGAAATTCTAATAGTCTTATTACTCTTATTGGAACTCTTCCAATTATTTGCTTCTCATTCTAGCTTACGTACTTAAGATTGGTCTGAGTGACGAGACTGCGAATTTTGGCACAAAATATTAACAATCTGTTTTGATGGTTTTGGAACGTGCCTACGAGTAGAATCTGTCTGCCAAAGGTAGCGAATATACAGCCAAATATTTTACAACGAAAAGTGGAATGGAACAAGTGGAAGTAAAATGGAATGTAGGTAGTCATGATGATTAAATTTGAAAATGAATAAGGCATGAAATGAAATGGAATTCGTAGGGAAAAAATTAAATTAACCAGATCTAAGTAAAATAATAAACATTTGTGAATAGGATTCATGAACTTTTTGTATAGATGGATTTGGTTTGGTTTTTCCACAATTCATAATTCATAAAAAATATACCCACAGTGACATGTTTAATCCCGAAAAATCACTAAATTTACCACAATAACAATACATTAATACACATAGGTTCATTTCTTGATGAGTATATAAATAAACACTGCCACTAACTACGATTTGTATCAAAAAAATTAAATTCCCCTGACCTCCTTTATGTACATTATCTATTTAAAAATTTATCAGTGTCTAGGTCGGATAGGGCAAAAGGTTCAAATATTTGTTGCTAGTAGCAGTGAACAAAATCTATCCAATCTTAATCAGTTAAAATTAACTTTCTTTCAAGTGGAAGCTGTTACGAAACTTAGGTGATATTTTAGTTAATAGGATCGTTAATATGTAATTAATGTTTAAATTTTGTTTTTTATTGCCCTTGTAGGCAGACGAGCACACGGCCCACTTAATGGTGAGTTGTTACCGTCGCCCATCGACTTCAGAAATGTCAGGGGCAGAACCAAGCCGCTGCCTACCGCTAATTAGTATGTAAAAGTAATTTTATGGTCTGTGTGATGAAACTAGCGCGCGCGAAAGTTTAATTTCGTCTACCAACATAACCTAATCATGACAGTAGGTGCTTTCAAGTTCCGGTTGTGTCTAGAGTGACTTCGATCTCTTTCCGGTCTTCTCTGGTTGTGTCTGGCGGCATTCGCATTTGTGAAGTCCATACATCGTAAATGTCGCCATCTACCTTGAGATGCGAGTTCTAAGATATCCGTTTTTACAATACAAAGACCCATCTGTCAAACTGACACGTATTACTGCTTCACGGCAGAAATAGGCAGGGTGGTGGTACCGACCCAGGCGGACTCGCAGGACGCCCTTTCCAGCAGCATATCTCAGAGGACATTCAATATATAAAAATGTCAAGGGAAATAAAACAAATATGCATTCCTTTAAAATTTTTATTTATAAAATTATATCTTCTTTATCCTTAACAACTACACATATAAACTAAATATTACATACACAAGCTTCTGGAATTAATTCATTAATAATAAAAATAAAAAAAACGAAAAGTAATATAAAATGCAAAAGTACTTAATAATTAATTAGGGTACATTCTGAGCTGCAATTGTTTGAGTATGAATGAATATAGCCTTATCGTTTCAGTGCTGTTTCAATTCAATCCCACACATGAGTCGACTATTATCAAAGCCGGCAATGTGACTTTTGGACAATTATTGGTAAATCAGAAAAACGAATTATTGACTTTGTATTCCATTGGCAGTCACAAAACTCTTCTGAACGACATCTTAGATAAATAACAGGTTAAGTATTAACCTTTATTTAACGCAGGTTTTGAAGCGTATTCTTTGAAGGAGACGATTATATTCAAATCAATCTGTATTGACATATCAATAACATATTTTTGTCCAAATGCACAGATTGCCATCTTTGATAATAGACGACTCACATATTGTGGACACTGAACAAATCCAATATAAAATTTAATTAGTATATATAAATCAGTGATTCTCAAACTTTCTCATGGGGTTTATATCACACAAAAATAAACTTTTACTGTTTTTAGTTTTTTAGTACTCAAAGGGACTCATTTTAATAATATATTTTAGTTATTATATTTGTCTTTTTTACTTTTAGGTTCATTTTCCATTAATTTTTAATTACAATTTGATGTTTTTTTCATTTTAATATAAAAATGTGGATATTACTTCGGTTTTATCGAGTCTTAGACATCGCCCCTGGACTTCAGTAATACCTATACAATTACAAAATGACATGGCTCACATTAATGGCGAGGGACACAGCTCTGATTGAGAATAACTGATAAAACACATGCACTAATTAAACTAATTTAACTATGCATTTTTTTGTAAATAAGTTAATCCGTGATGTTCTTGCGAAGTATTCGAAAAGTGTTTTTTTTTTTATTTCTTTACTTTGAATATAATTTAATTTTTCATATAAAACTCATAGATGCAGTCAGATAAGTCAGATACGTCATATTAATTTACGGGTCTTTTTGAAGTATTATCATAAGTATACCATTGCAAGGAGTGAAAAGCTAAATAGCCTTAAAGTTTAAGTAACATTTTGTGTTTACATTAAAGCCATTTAAAGTTTAAAATTTGGAAAAAATATAATTTGAAAAAAAAAAAAAAAACTTCTTCAGTTACTTGAATAGGGTGAACTTAATAAAAGTTCAATTAAAAACATTGAACTGTTGATGCTGATATTAAATAAAACGGACCTTTAATTACAAAGATAAATGTCGCGTGTCAAGCGCATGTTGCTTAAACCAAATACCCCTTTCACCCTTCAATATCATATCATAGTCAATACCATAGTCAAAACGTTTATAGAAACTACCAAAAAATATTTATGTAAAGTAGATATCGTCGTTGTCAACCCAAAATCTGCTATGTGCAAAAACTTTACTTTGAATTAACGAGTAAAAATATTTTCGTATAAAATTTTATATGAAGGTGAATTTTTAAGGACTACCTATATCAAATGAAAGCTATAGATGTGTTTGTACCTGTCAACAGATTTTGGCGATTTTTTTCCGTGTGTGTGTTTTTGTTGGGTTCATGGATATTTCTGGTTTACAATAAGATCCGGTAGGTGGCGTCATAATACTTTACAAGACTTTAAATTATATGTGCAGTGACGGATTTAGGTTTGATGTCACCCCAGGCTCTGCGCGATAACAGCTCTTAATGTTAGTATAATTTTTTATTAATTTTGATCAAATATTCTTATTTCCTTAGAAAATAAATTTTTATTATAACTAATAAATATAACAGATAAATCAATAATTAACAACAAATTAACAAATAAATATAAATAAGTATTTTTTCTAATTAATCATTATTTTTATTTTTTTAAAAATAATCCGAACTTATTTTAAAGAAGACTGTCTTTACATTTTGGCATTTCAAAAATGTTGCCACCCTTTAAATCGTGCCGCTCTGAGTCCGACATAAATCCATCACTGTTTGTATGTATGTATATTTAATGAAAAGTACATTTTTTTATAGTTTCGATTAAAATTCTACCTGGCATAGCTAATAATCCAGGATTTTTGTTTCGTTCTCTTATAGATTGAACAATATCTGACAGGTCTGCTAGTATCTATACGTATCTAAAATTAAAAACGATTCACTTATTTGTTACCATATCGAGATCTCTTATAAGAATTTATAATTAATTTTAATGTTAAACAATTAATTTATACTCATAAAACAATGCTAGTTTAAAAATATACATTTATTACTTCATACGGATGTATACAATTAAGATTCCTTTGCCTTTAGTCAGTAGAACAACTTAGTAAAAACATATTAAGTTACACATAACCTTAATCACATATCACTATGTACTTACATTTGTATAATAAAATCATTATATATGATTATACTTAAAATTAAACATAATATCTTTGCCGAACTAATTTCAACCTCTCAGAATTAATTTGATTTCGCTGTCATACGAATATGTCATTAACTTTTATTTTTTTAACTTTTCATATATTATGAACTGTTTTCTATAAAATAAAACATAGTATTGATTCGCGATTCAATGAAGCAATGTATCGATAATTTTTTTCTAATGCCTCTTGAGCAGCGCGCAATGTAAGACAAACAGATGAAGCGTGGGTTCAATGTCCTCGTGTTACACTAGCAATTCCATTTTTTTATTTATTTTTTATTGCTTAGATGTGTGGACGAGCTCACAGCCCACCTGGTGTTAAGTGGTTACTGGAGCCCATAGACATCTACAACGTAAATGCGCCACACACCTTGAGATATAGTTCTAAGGTCTCAGTATAGTCACAACGGCTGCCCCACCCTTCAAACCGAAACGCATTACTGCTTCACGGCAGAAATAGGCGGGGCGGTGGTACCTTACCCGTGCGGACTCACAAGAGTCCTACCACCAGTAATTATATTAAGATGATTATGTTTGAAGTCGTCGTGGCCTAAAAGATAAGACGTCCGGAGCATTCGTATGTAGCGATGCACCGATGTTCGAATCCCGCAGGCGGGTACCAATTTTTCTAATGAAATACGTACTTAACAATGTAGGGACACGTAAGCGCTTGCGCATGCAATTATTGCATTACGCTGCACCAGTTGCCCGGCGCCGGTCATTATTTAAACACATATACCATCTTACGGAATAAACGGCGTGATCTTTAATAACAAAGATAAATGTCGCGTGTTAAGCGAAATGACGCTTAAGCCGAATATCCCTTTCACCCATCGATATGTTATCGTTTATAATGACAATCTAGTGTTGGTCCAGTCTGAGAGGTTGAAACAAAATAGAAATTATAATAGAAGTTAGAACCGAATGGTCGTTTTAAAACGAATATCACAATCGAATTTTAATTAAATAATAAATTTTTAATAATTAATTGTCAACGTTAGAGGCACAAGGACGATACGATATGTCAATTTGACGAGATCGTATTAAAATATCGCATGTGGGAAAATGTAACAAAGCCGCTTGACGTAACTCTTCGGGATCCTCCAAAAAGTCCACTGAAAAAGTCTCAGTAAATGAACACCATTTTACTGAGATTATATTTCATCCCATATCATCTCATTACATTTCATGCCACGAAACATTTTTCACATAAATACATTTAAATATAAAAGATTAGGCTGTATGGTGTGACGCCTTTGCCTTTCCAGTTGGAAAATAAAACTACTACTACATAAAACAATATGATTTTGACTTTGTGTAATTTTTTTTTTGTAGGAATCGACGTAAGAAATGCGAGATTCCGGCTTCTATCATATTTGACAGATGTCAAAGAAACTGCCAAAGGTTAACTTCACGTGCTTTTGGTTCGACCTCACATCTCAATGTTGGGTCGTTCGCGTCGTGACGTATATGGACTGGGGCATCGACTTAACGCCACTCGTCTACCCATCCGTGCGAGATTTGAATCGCATATAATAACTGACCCGACCTTGTGATCCTAATGCTGACATTAAATACATCTATTCCTAGTTTTTTTTAATTATATCTAATCTACTTTATTTTGTACACAATAGTTAATGACCAAACTATTCAGAAACATTTTTAAACTTTAAGCTTCGCTTTGTCAACTTAGAAAACAAAAAATCACAAAAACTTTGACAAACGTCAAAGCTGTCAAACACGAACCATCGACAACGATTTTGCAAACACAGTTTTTTTTTTTTTTAAATTTACAAAAGAAACAGTTCCGATACAGCTTCTAAGTTATGTTTCCCTTAACTATATCCCACAGTCGTTGTTACAACGTCACTTATGCAAATTATGTATTTTTTTTCAAGAGAGCCCTTTGAAAATTGAACATCTTATTACAATTACATAGTTCTTCTCGAATAAAGAAATGAAATTATAATATATAAACCACAACTTTAAATATTATCAGTAAAAGCAAACGTCTTACTAATAACTGTGACAAAAACTCAGTTCAGTTTTAACATAAAATTTCTTAAGTGTCATTATTATTGGCATTGTATATATATATATATTTATTGCTTAGATGGGTGGACGAGCTCACAGCCCACCTGGTGTTAAGTGGTAGCTGGAGCCCATAGACATGTACAACGTAAATGCGCCACCCATCTTGTATGTGCGATATATGAAATTCTCGATATTATCACACAGGCACACACAGCGAAAAACATATATATCTACAATGTACCAAACAAATTTCTATGTAGGATCTGCTGCGGAACTAGACAGAGTCGGGGAATAAAACCGAATCGTTAGGTCGTTCAGACTCGCCTCGTGGACTCGAGTTGTAGAGCGAGACGACCGACTATCGCTGTCTCTATCTCTGTGACGTCAGCATTGGAGAGGCCAAGCTAACATAGAACTAGCATCATTGATGATGATCTGATGATGCAGAAAGCTGTACCTTTTTTTTTATTGCTTAGATGGGTGGACGAGCTCACAGCCCACCTGGTGTTAAGTGGTTACTGGAGCCCATAGACATCTACGACGTAAATGCGCCACCCACCTTAAGATATAAGTTCTAAGCTCTCAAGTATAGTTACAACGGCTGCCCCGCCCTTCAAGCCGAAACGCATTACTGCTTCACGGCAGAAGTAGGCAAGGCGGTGGTACCTACCCGCGCGGACTCACAATACGTCCTACCACCAGTAAAATCTGAATACCTGAATCGCGGCGGCCGCACTTCCACCAACCTAGGGGACTATAGGCTATGCGATATCGGTGATGAGAGCGGAGACACCTTCTCCCTCCTGCACTGATTCGAGGAGTTGAGGGTGCCGGACCAGTCCGCCAGCTGGGACGAGGGGCGGTAGAACTTCGAAGACGTCTTATTGAAGACCGGCAGTAGCTCGTTGGCTTCGTTCGTTAGAGCCTGGTGGTAATCGTTAATATGATTTTAATGATATCAGCTATATATATATAAATAAAATTCTGTCTGTTTGTAACATTGAAATAGCCGCTTTTTACTACATGCATATATATACGGTACATACACCAAAATAACATTTTTGACAATTTTTGTCTGTCTGTCTGTCTGTTTGTTCCGGCTAATCTCTGAAACGGCTGAACCGATTTTGATGAGACTTTCACTGATAGGTAGCTGATGATATAAGGAGTAACTTAAGCTACTTTTTTTAGACTAGCTTCGCCCCGCGGCGTCACCCGTGGTACGATAATAACCGCGGGTAAAATCGCGGGACTCAGTTATTAATAAAATTTAATGTTTCCGAAGCGAAGCGAGGGCGTGTCGCTAGTCTATACTAATATTAAAAAGCTGAAGAGTTTTTTGTTTGAACGCGCTAATCTCGGGAACCACTGGTCAGATTTGAAAAATTATTCTGTACTCTGTATCTTTATTGTCGTGTTTTTTTCTAACAGCTGTGTGTACAAAATATATTGAATAAATAAAAAAAATTCTTTCAGTGTTAGATAGCCCATTTATCGAGGAAGGCTTTTATGGCTATATAACATCACGGTAAGACCGATACAAATGTTGCATTTTATTCCGGCATTTTATCGCCGGGTGGTCGAGCCTGTCACTTGATGTGGACCGGCTTGGTCGCGCATTCACAAGGACAGGGGGGTTTAGGGAGGGTGGTCAACTACTGTCCTTAGTGTCTGGTGTACCTTGAGGTAGATGACGGCGTCCGTGCCGTAACCCTCGCACGATACCAGCACCAGGTCGCCGTGGAAATACCGCGCGTACAGACGCGAGATAGGCAGCCCGTATCCGTAACCTGCGAGATGCAACGCACTGATTAGATATAATATGAAGCCGTCTTGAGTCTTGAGACGTGAGGTCGAAAAAGTATATCTACAATTTTCCAGTTCATTTCTGATTCTAACAACAGATGGCAGATAGAAGTGGTTACTGGAGCCTATAGATATCTATAACGTAAATGCGCCACCCACCTTGAGATATAAGTTCTAAGGTCTCAAGTATAGTTACAACGGCTGCTCCGCTCTTCAAACCGAAACGCATTACTGCTTCACGACAGAAATAGGTGGGGCGGTAGTACCTACCCGCGTGGACTCACAAGAGGTCCTACCACCAGTAATCCCCGCAATCGACGTGACCCTGGTCGTCGACCTATGCTGCGTGACGTAAGAGGGTCTAGCTTACCCGCTAGCGGCACCGTGTGCGAGTCGGACTTGGAGGGCTGCGGCGCCGTGCTGTACATGTACTTGAACAGAAGCTCCGACACGCTGCGCGGGATGCCGCCGCCGCGATCAGACATCTGCAACAAGGGGACGGATTAGCGCTCCGCCAGGGGGGACCGCCCCTGACACTGGGGGACTGAGGGAGGGGACCGCCCCTGACACTTTGGGGTGACTGCCCTGACTCTCTGGGGGACCGGGGTGGAGGGGACCGCCCCTGACACTCTGGGGGACCGGAGGATGTCTGACAAATGAACCTTCACGATGAAGGTCCTCTTAGCACATTGGGTTAGTGTTTACTGTCCATGCAGGCAGACGAGCATACGGACACCTGATGGTGAATGATCCCCATCCCTGGACTAATGGTATACTTTTCCTTTTTTTGCGATCTGTTGCTCGTGCCTATGTTTAATATTGTTCTTGGACTTCCTACAGCTTTATCTGTGCCTTCTGTGGCTCCGTACTTTCTCCTTTTTTTTTATTGTCTAGATGGGTGGACGGGCTCACAGCCCACCTGGTGTTAAGTGGTTACTGGAGCCCATGGACATCTACAACGTAAATGCGCCACCCACCTTGAGATATAAGTTCTAAGAGCTCAGTGTAGTAACAACGGCTGCCCCACCCTTCAAACCGAAACGCATTACTGCTTCCTTCCTTCTGCTAAATATACTGTGTAAATAGGAAATAAACTGCCTATCCTATTCCGGACTCGTTATTGTGGCACTGGTGACCCTACCACCAAATCCCAAACGAGCCGCTGCCAAAGTGTGCGTAACCTTATCATTTTATCTATATCTATATATATAAATGAATTGCTGTTCGTTAGTCTCGCTAAAACTCGAGAACGGCTGGACCGATTTGGCTAATTTTTGTCTTGAATTATTTGTGGAAGTCCAGAGAAGGTTTAAAAGATAGATAATTATGAAAATACTGGGAATTAAATAAAAATAACAATTTTGGTTTTCCCTTTGATGTGTCCCCCGTCGGACTGATTCCTTTTGTTTGTTTTAAGTTTATTTTATACAAAAGTTTAGGTATTTTATTTATCGTTTCAGGCACTACGAAGTCTACCGGGTCAGCTAGTAAACAATAATTATTTTAAAATCAATAAAAAAAAAAACGTTTATGTTTTCTTTGCTGACGCTCCTTCGGTTTGTCCCACACAAACACGCTTGTCTGTACGAGTCACCACTACAACCAAAGCGAAAGCTTTATCGCGAAACGGAATATTTAGACCACGGTCCTACCTACCTCTGCCACGAAGCAATATACTCGAGACTTCGATTACAAAAGTAGAATCACATTATGATGTCCATGGACCACGGTGAGGCCGTAACACCATAAATCCGTCTCTGCAATAAACTAAGACCCTCCATCCGTCTGTGCAATTTCACCTTAACGGATATGTCCTCTTTCCCGTTGACGAGGTTAACTTGTATCGGCGGCGGGGCAGTGCCGTGGTTCTCCATGACGGCTCTCATGGCGTTCTTGAATAGTTCAAACAGCATGTGGTAGAGGTGCGAGGGCACATACACTATGGGCATCGGGCGCAGACTCGACACTGGAACAATCGTTATAGGATATTCACACGAGCCTTTCTTCTGCTTAGATAGGGGACGATCAGGGCTTTTTTACTGAAAGTTTCTAATACAATTTTTTATTGATTTCCGCACGGCACGTAAAGTATGAAAGTTAAAAAAATCAAATAAAGTCAAGAGGTCAACGCCGCAGTTAAGCTCTTGTCCGCCTCATAGAGGTCCGTACCTTTTGCATTCAATACTTTGTTTTTATGATCATGAGTTTGAACAACAGAATGGCTTTATAACTGGTCTTCGTCACAGATCTTACCTCCGTCCTGCAGTACCTCCAGCTCTGGTGAGGCTAAGTAGTATCTGTCGCAGAGGAACCTTGCGTTCTCGTAAGCGTCCCTAACGACGGCCACGACGTCACAGGCCGGGTCTATGGAGCCGATGTGACGGCCACCATTGCCGATCCCATTGACCGACGCCTGCTTGCCGCCAAGCTGCTCGCCAAACAACAGAGCTGCGTGCCGGAAGGTAAAACACGTCATTACGGATCCTCCCGATCCATTAACGGTGGTTTTAGGTACCACAAGCACCGGTCATCGTCCTCGTCGAACCCAACGCTTGCGACGAAAGGTTCGACGAGTAAATTAACCTACACAGCCCATTGAGTTTCTCGCCGGATCATCGCAGTGGGTCGCGTTTCCGATCCGGTGGTAGATTCTGTGACACTGCTCTTGCTAGGGCCAGTGTTAACAACACTTCGGTTTGAGCCCCGTGAGCTCACCTTAACGTCATGGAGAAACTGAAATAGCCTCTCAAGGCTATCAGCATAGGTAAGAAAAGAAAGGAGGGTAAATCGTAAAAATAGATACACGAAAAACGACGACCAAGGCGTCATTTTACCTAGCTTTTTTTTTTTAAGACTGGCCCTAGCAAGAGTAGTCCTTCGCAGAATCTACCACCGGGTCGAAAACGCGGCCCACTGAGAAGATCCGGCGAGAAACTCAGTGGGCTGTGTCTGTGGGTTAATTTATTCGCCGAGCCGAGCCGCAAGCGGCGGGTTCGACAAAAACGATGACCGGTAACACGCTTTCATTAGCTTCATACTTATATAGGGTTTTTCAAAAGCGACGCTCAAACTTTGACAGCTCATAGCGGTCATCTTGATAAAGCAATAGCTGTCAAATTTGGCATGAACACATATTCAGTCGTGATATAATTGGTCCACCACGATACACCACCTACAGTGGAGGCGCGGCGGCCATTTGGCTGAAATTTTATTCCATATACATAATGTCATCGAATACCCTTTAAAATTAATAAAAAAATTGTGGCAATATCACTTAAACGGGTTTTTTTTTATTTATTTTTTCAGTTCGAGTGCTCTTAATCAAAAATCCTTTATTAGTATGTATGTAATGGAAGCTTTAAACTGACAGGCGCTAGTGAAAGAGTTCGCACCGGTTATATGTTGCGTAATCAGAAAGGTAATTCCCGGTTTTTTTATTGCTTAGATGGATAGACGAGCTCACCTGGTGTTAAGTGGTTACTGGACCCCAGTTTTTACGCATATTATAATTTTGCGGGTTTGATTTTTATTACACGATGTTATTCCTTCACCGTGGAAGTCAATCGTGAGCACTTGTTGAATACGTATTTCATTAGACAAATTGGTACCTGCCAGCGGGATTCCAACACCGTTGCATCGCTAGACACGAATGCACCGGACGTCTTATCCTTTAGGCCACGACGACTTCAAAACTCTCGGTTAAAAAATGTCAATAAATTTTGTTCACCAGTCACCGGGACGACAGTGACATCTGGCCCTCAAGTCTGTCAGACCAGGGGCTTGCGATGACCCTCCCCTGCCCCCTGCCCCCCACATTAACCAAAGTACTTACTGTGCTGGTTAATAAGCATCCGAATAGATATCCGACTCATGTAGAATCTGTCCAGGAAGTATTGTATGGAGTTCTCCGTTCCGGGATCCACTTCGTGAGACTCTTTCAGCTCTAGCACACCCTGGGCCATCGTCTGAACGACGTCAGCGTGCCGGTTCCTTATGTGGACAAGACGTTCGCAGAATCTGTGAAGGTTTCGTTTGAGAAATGATGAACATTTTTTTTTTGGGACGGACATCTATATATTATTAATACGTGAAGCAAAAACTTTGGACCCCTTTTTACGAAAATTGCGCGGACGGAGGAGTATGAAATTTTCCACACACTTATAGAGAATATCCGGGTTCAGACGGAATTTTTCAACAATAGACCACATCCATACACTCAAACAATTAATTGAGAAGTACAACGAATTCAACAAAACACTGTATATGGTTTTTATAGATTATGCAAAGGCTTTTGATTGCATTAGTCATAAAGCAATGTGGGAAAGCCTAGGAAAGCAAGGTATACCAGAAACATATTTAGACATTATCAAAAATATATATGCAAACAGTAAAGCAAAAATCCAGTTAGAAACCCTGGGAAAAGAATTCCGAATCAAGCGAGGAGTCAGGCAGGGAGACCCAATGTCCCCAAAGTTGTTTTCAGCAGTGCTAGAGAACGTCTTTCGCAACCTTGACTGGGAACATCTAGGCCTCAACATAGACGGAAGGAAACTAAACCACTTAAGATTCGCGGACGATATAGTTCTGCTTGAAGAAAATCCAAAGGCACTCGAAAAGATGATCCAAGCTCTAAATACTGAAAGCTCCAAAGTGGGGTTAAAAATGAACATAACAAAAACGAAATTGATGACTAACTCAGAAATAAGGCCCATTGAAATTGATGGACAAAAAGTAGAATATGTTGACGAATATTGCTACTTGGGTCAGATCATCTCCCCTAAAGACCAAACAACCAAGGAAATAAATAAGAGGATTGCTAATGGGTGGAAAAAATACTGGTCTCTTAAGGAAGTTGTAAAAGCTAAAGAACACAATATGGCAACGAAGAGGAAAGTATTCAATACTTGTATTCTCCCATGCATCACATACGGCTGCGAAACATGGTCCCTTACAAAACACCATAGAGAAAAACTGGGAAAGTGCCAGAGAGGTATGGAACGAAGCATGACAGGAACAAGAAGACAAGATAGAGTTAGCAATGTGCAATTAAGAGAAAAAACAAAACTAACTGACATCCTGGAAAAAATAGACCTCCAAAAATGGAGATGGACCGGCCATATGTTGAGATCTAGACAAGAAAAGTGGAGTCAAATTATAACGAACTGGTATCCAAGAGATGGCAAGAGGTGTCGAGGACGTCAACAAATGCGATGGGAAAATGAGCTGAAACTTACCGCCGGACCCAAATGGAGAAGAGTTGCTCAAGATAGAAAACAATGGAGACTACTGGAGGAGGCCTTTGCCAGAAGGCACACTGAGTTGAGAGACATCTTATAAACAAACAAACCAAAATATCCAATCACAAAGATAAATCTCACCCAGTTTAAAGGGCTAATTATTATTATTATTATATAGAGAATATAGGGAAGGAGTGCAGAATGGTAATATTTTTTTTAATTAGGCATAAAAAAATACCTTGTACTACCTACCTACTTGTGTATTTGACACAACCCATATACTCTTTGTTTACTGTCATAATTTTGTTATTGTTTAAAGTCGTGTTTAAATTGAGAATAGATTAATATTGTTGGTCTTTAATATTATTTGTCTATAGTGTAGTCTTAGCGAAATCTGACTATAAAAGTTAAAGTCTTTGACAATAGAACCATAATAATGTTCAAACTTATAATTCCAATTAATTATCGAATTTCGACTACTGAGGGACTAGTCTTTTTGATTATATGAATGGAAATAGTCTCTTACTGGGTCAGCGTCGGAGGATCTGGTTCCATCTGTTCAAAGCGTGTTATTTCCTCGAATGAGCGCTCGTACCATTGGTTGACTAAGCCCACCGAAGGCATTCGAAGTAGGTTCTCAGGGAGTAGCGCTATCTCCTTCATTATGTTCGCGAGCCTGAAAGAGAAAGACAGATGTTTGCTTATTTCATATCCTAAAACCGGTGATGTTTCGGACCCCTAATAATTGGTAGTGTGACACGTCATTTCGGATCCTCCCGATCCATTAACGGTGCTTTTAGGTACCTCAAACACCGGTCAACATTCTCGACGAGTAAATTAACCCACAAACAAAGCCCATTGAGTTTCTCGTCGGATTTTCTTAGTGGGTCGCGTTTTCGATCCGGTGGTAGATTCTGCGAAGCACGGCTCTTGCTAGGGTTCGTGTTAGCAACGTCGTTAGGTTTGGGCACCGTGAGCTCACCTATTAGCTAAGGTTACGCTGAAATAGCCTCTCAAGGCTATCAGCTTAGGTAGGAAAAAAAAGGCAGTGTGAAAAACTTGATTCGTGGTAATTGTTTTTTTTTTCGCCAATGAAGTGTCCAAACTTGCGTTGAGTTATAAAGTAAACTCTCAAATCAAGCAACGAGTTTTGCGCATGCGATCTAGTGATTTTTTAACCGACTTCAAAAAAGGAGGATGTTCTCAATTCGACTATGTTTTTTTTAATGTTTTGTAAACTTTTAACTGGGTGAATCGATTTGGATGATTCTTTTTTTATTAGAAAGCTGGCGCTTTCCGTGTGGTCCCATTACAATTTAGTTCAGTTCTGATAATGGTATCTATGAGAAAACCATATAAGTCTTAAATTTGCATTAAGTACGTGCGCGTCAAGTAAATGAATAACTCAATATCACGTCAAAGGTTTTTAGTGTATATATTAATTTGTTTTGGAATATCTTTTTTTTTCTATTTAAAGTCTGTTTTTGTTAAAGCATGTCTATTTATTATTTATAAGGGAATTTAAATTACAGCGCTTGTTGATTTAAGTTATATTCCGTAATAGCTGACCCGGCAGACTTCGTAGTGCCTCAATCGATAAATAAAAGACCTAAACTTTTGTATAAAATAAACTTAAAACAAACAAAAGGAATCCGTCCGACGGGGGACACGTCAAAGGAAAAACAAAATTGTTATTTTTATTTAATTCAGAACATTTCCATTCATTTATCTACCTTTTAAACCTTCTCTGGACTTCCATAAATAATTCAAGACCAAAATTAGCCAAATCGGTCCAGCCGTTCTCGAGTTTTAGCGAGACTAACGAACAGCAATTCATTTTTATATATATAGAAGATAGAAGAAGAAGATAGATAGATTATTTAGGTTGGCGAGTAAGAACCCGTAGACACAATAAGGTGGAAGTCACCATCGACCTTGAGATATAACGTCGGAATCTCAATTGCATAGCCTTTGTCTCAACCTCGTAGGCGTTTTTTTTTTTTTTTCCTACCTATGCTGATAGCCTTGAGAGGCTATTTCAGCTTCGCCCTAACGTTTGTAGATGAGCTCGCGGGGCTCAACCGGAGAGTTGCTAACACTGACCCTAGCAAGAGCAGTGCTTCGCAGAATCTGCCACCGGATCGGAAACGCGACCCACTGAGAAGATCCGGCGAGAAACTCAGTGGGCTGTGTCTATGGGCTAGTTCACTCGTCGAGCCCTTCGTCGCAAGCGACGGGTTCGACGAGGACGGTGACCGGTGCTTGTGGTGCCTAAAAGCACCGTTAATGGATCGGGAGGATCCGTAATGACGTGCTTTGGGCGACGTCGAATGTTTACCATTCGGTCTACAGGATCGGGTATGTAGTTTCCAGCGGCCACGACAAGAGGGTTCTCATGTCGTGCCGCCTTCTCGAAATGGCGCAATGATGCCGACTGTAGATACTTACTGACAGAGTCGAGCTCCAGGTCATCGTGGAGATCCACGTTCCTCAAGAACCATGGTGCTCCGACGGCTATCCTGCAGAATCGGGATTGAATAACCTGAAGGGGCTTCAAGTTGGTGCGGGCTGCGTGAGCGAACACTACGCTTGCATAAGTCATAACGGGGCGTATGCAAGTTTTGTAGAGAGTTACCTTATTACGGAGGGACAGTTTGCTTTGCTTGCAAAGCATAGGGTAGAGACGTCCTAATATGAAGGCGGCACGGTCGCGTACCGTTTTAATATGGGGACGTAATGTCATCCCTCTGTCGAGGGTGACGCCTAGGTATTTGACCTGCGAGGCCCACGGTATGGGTTGGCCAAAGAGGGTGACGGGGCTAACAGCGGAGGTGTTTGCGCGCCTATTAGGGAGTGGGATGCTCGAAGTGGTATTCGGAGGGCGACCCCTTTTGAAGAGCACCGCTGTGCTTTTCGTGGGGTTGATGTCGATGCGCCACTTCCGGAACCACTGTCCCATGTTGGCTACTGCGATCTGGAGTCGCCGATGCAGCAACGACATCTTCCTACACGAGTAGTAGATAGCCGTGTCATCGGCGAAGAGCGCTAGATGGGTCTCCGGAGACCGGGGTATATCATTGATATACAAACTGAATAATAACGGGGAGAGCGCGGAGCCTTGCGGGACTCCGGCAGTCAGATGACGGGGACGAGAACGAGTTCCCTCTACTCAATATCGAAACAAACGGTTCGACAAGAACTCGTAGGCGTGATGGTAGTACCAACCCGTGCACTTACGACGAATTACGATATCAATTTTGCGAAATAAAAAAGAACACGCGCGTCGGATTCGAACACCGGCCCAGTCGCATCGATATGAGCACACCGGTCGTCTTATCCTTTAGGCCACGACGGTACTCAGAGCCCTAATACTATATTTAAAACCTACATGTACTAGTTCAGTGTGCACAGTGCGAGTTTTTTAACGTTCTCGATAGCGTAAAAGTTAACTCAAATTTGTATGGAGTTGGAACGTTTGCCTGCGTTTGCCGCTAGGGGCGCTGTTGCAGCCGCATATCAATTTAAGTTAACTTTTACGCTATCGAGAACGTTTAAAAACTCGTACTAAGCGCACAGATCGCGAAAACAACCTAGACCCGTTACAGCGGCTGGAGTCACTAGACCAGAACGAGGTGATAATAAATAATAGTTTAAAAAAACTAACAAAATACGCTTTTATAGAAAATCCAACTAAAAAATAGAAAATAAATTTTAATAAATTTAAATTGAAAATAGTTTTTTTTTTTGTTTATTGCTTAGATGGGTGGACGAGCTCACAGACCACCTGAGAGTTAAGTGGTTACTGGAGCCCATAGACATCCACAACGTAAATGCGCCACCCACCTTGAGATATAAGTTCTAAGGTCTCAAGTTTAGTTACAACGGCTGCCCCACCCTTCAAACCAAAACGGATTACTGCTTCACGGCAGAAATAGGTAGGGTGGTGGTACCCAACCGCGCGGACTCACAAGAGGTTCTACCACCAGTAATAGTGTAAGAAAAAATGATTTTATTGTAAAAAAAGCGTGGGCGGCTTTTCAGGATATTATCAAAATAACCCTTCTACTCATATCTGTTCATAAAATATTTATAACTACTGATCCATGCATCCCACGCTCTATGCCAGCGTATTAAAAAAAAACAAAGAGATTAATTATAAAATCAATTACGACCAAACACAAAAACAGTCTAATTTCATTGCAGCAATAAAACAAATTAAATTTTATTTTTAATTGCTTTGTTTACTGATATTATTCCAGTGATGAGCGTTTATTAGTATTTCCTTATCAGCATACGGGTTGTAATTATTGTTTATAATTTGTGTGCTGATGTTTCAACGGATACGCGATCCAGTGACCAGAACACGCAGACCCCTCAGATATGAGGTTAAAGTTTCGATTCAGTGATTCTGGTCGAATTCCGGTCATTATATTGATTACATTTAAAATTGCGTTATAATAATTACAGGCGAAAACGGTACCTATGTATTTCAATCGCCCCGCGCTGGTCAGCGTAAAAGACATTTGATATTCGTGGTCAGATTGTTCGATAGGATTGTTCAGGAAACATCAAGTTATCTCTACCGGTCGATATAAAAGGTTAAATTCTCTTGAAGCTTTAAGTCGGAAAAAAAAAATTCTCCTACCTACGCCGAAAGTTAGGTTTTCCTCCCGCTGTACAGGGAAGAAAGTCTAACTTTACTCCCGCTGTACAGGGAAGAAAGTCTAACTTTACTCCCGCTGTACAGGGACGAAAGTCTAACTTTACTCCCGCTGTACAGGGAAGAAAGTCTAACTTTACTCCCGCTGTACAGGGAAGAAAGTGTAACTTTACTCCCGCTGTACAGGGAAGAAAGTCTAACTTTACTCCCGCTGTACAGGGAAGAAAGTCTAACTTTACTCCCGCTGTACAGGGAAGAAAGTCTAACTTTACTCCCGCTGTACAGGGAAGAAAGTCTAACTTTTCCTCCCGCTGTACAGGGATGAAAGTCTAACTTTTTCTCCCGCTGTACAGGGATGAAAGTGTAACTTTTCCTCCAGCTGTACAGGGAAGAAAGTGTAACATTTCCTCCCTGGGTACTGACAAGTGCGCATGCGCGTTAGTGTCTACGTCTGCTCTCACGCACCTAAAATTCTCCGCCATTGTTGTGCTCGGGTAATTTGCAATATTGTGTTTAGTATAAAAATGAAATAAACAAAAGGCAATAAAATTTAATAGTGAAGTATTAAACAAAGATGAGTTCATCAGACAGTCCTTATTCAATTAGAAGTAATTTATTTAAAAATTAAAAAACAGTTAAATTGTTTTTTTATGAGTATGGGTTCTCCCTTGGTGTACAATCTATACTAATATTATAAAGAGGAAAGATTTGTTTGTTTGTTTGTTTCGAATAGGCTCCGAAACTACTGGACCGATTTGAAAAATTATTTTTCCATTAGAAGCCGACATTGTCCCTGATGAACATAGGCTACTTATTTTAATTTTTTTTTTATTTTTTTTGTTTTTGTTTCATGTGTGTTTTAATGTTTCCGAAGCGAAGCGAGGGCGGATCGCTAGTGTACTATATTTGCTTAAATGAGTGGACGTGCTTACGGCCCACCAGGTGTTTAGTGGTTAACGGAACCCATAAACATCTACAAAGTTATATCCCGCCACCCATCTTGATTTTTCAGTACA